GGGTCGGGAACAGGTAGATGTTGGAAATAGAAAAAAAAAGCGAGAATGACTGAGCTGGGATGGACCAAGAGAGCGAAACCAGATGAAGAAGAGGAGACAGCGAGGGACGGGCGAAAGCCAGGAGGTGGTCGATATTATTAAAAGGGCCAGGGAAGGGTCCAGGGGGTGGGAATGGAGCTAGAACCAGTCGATCGGGGATGGATCCTCAGACGTGGATATCCAGAGGGGACGATGTTCTCGGGTGCGTGGGTCGAGATTGCGATGATGAGGAAGCGACCCTTGGAAGATGGAAGGGGGGTTGGGCGACCAGGTTTTGTTGGTTTGGTCTCTTTGGGAAGCGCGTTGAATTGTGAAGCTGGTGACGAGGGGAGAGATGAGCATCGACGCACAAGGTGTTTGGGTGGCCGTAGTGGTCTTTGTGGTGGTGGTGGTGTTGTTGTTGTTTCCAGTCTTTCCTGTCCCGTCTGCGCAATGCGTGTGTGGTATATGCTTCGATGCAGTTCAAGTAATGGCAAGTTGCTTGTAAATGCAATGCAGCATTCGCGGACCGGACGGCAGTTGATGGATGCTCTGCCGGTAGGATAGCAAAAGCTCGACGAGAACTGCGACGCATACGGGTTGTTAAAAAAATAAAATAAAAATAAAAAAGAGGGACGAAGAAACAGATGAGAGAGGAAGGGGTCAGGGAGCTTTGGGAGAGGAGGGGAGCCAGAAGCCGAGCGGAAGTGGAAAGGGAGAGCAAGAATGAATGGGAGACGAGGGTCGAGTGGACGGTACGGGGGGAGGAAAGAGAGTGTGTGAGAGAGAGTGTAGAGGTACTCCTCACGGTGCGGTACCGTGTAAGGTAGACAGACACCACTGCACCAGTAAGGTAGGTACCGCCGTAGAGAAGAAACCCACACGCGATCCAGCAGAGTGATTCACCGCAGACCCGCGTCGGGATGGGCGAAGACGAGGATTGAGAGGACGAGGGACGAGGGGTGGGAGACTTTCACTTGGAAAAGGAACCTCCAGGCTCTGTGGTCAGAGTAGGGATCTGAGGTACTCGGGTAATAAGATAGGTACCTAGTCCCTAGTCGCTGAGGCACTGCGTAGGTGTGCAAAGTGCGGTACGAAATGCAGTGCAGATGGAAGGGAAATTGAATTCTACTGACCGGGAGTAAGTGGTAAAATGGAGCGAGGAGCCGACCACTATGCCGTCGACTCGAGAAATGGCTGGGGGTCCGTTCTTAGCATGAACGAATGAATCCGGGGGGGTGAGAGGTCGAAGGAGAGGGTACTTGGTGATAGGGGCCCAATTTCGCTAATGGTTTTCGGGGGGGGGAGTCGTGCTTTTTTTCTCACTTCTTTTGCCCTTTTGCCCTTTCGCTCTGGCGGGCCAATTTGCGCTCGAAGGGTGTGTCCAAGGCAAAAGGCAAGGGGGGGTGTGATGGACCGATGGTGGTGGTCTGGGAGTCTCCTGGGACCTGGGGCGGCCAAAAAAGCCTAGGTAGGGGGGGCTGGCGGACCAGGATCAGGCTGTAATGTTTGTGTGCGAGTTGTGTGAGTGTCCAGTTGTGCCAGTGTCTGTCTCTCTTGTCTTGCCCTGCGAGAGAGGGAAGGTCCACGGAGAGAAATGGTGTGTGTATGTGCGCGCGCGCGAGAGGTACCTGACTGGCTTGACCTGACTTGCCTGACCTGAGCTTTCCCCTACGGGTAGGTACGAATAGTTAGGTATCTTTTCTCTCTCTATTGGTACGGTGCTAGGTGCCTGTGGGAGCAGGCAGGAAAGACAATGGAAGGCAATGAGAGACAAAACTGTACCAGAGTCTAGAGAGTGATGACTACCTGAGAGGCGAGTAGGCTTCCGTAAATTGAAAAACGGCGAGAGAAAAAAAAGGAAGATTGTGCTGTGGACTGCAGGGTCGAGCTTGGTTTGATTATGTTCGGACGTTTGGTCGCCTCTTGGTACGGATACACTTTCTTCTTCCTCGTTCCTTTCTATCCGGCGGTTGTCTCGTCTGCGTCTGCGGCCTCTGTGAGTGTCTTCGGTTGCTTGGAGTTTGGTGCTTGGTGCTTGGATCCCTGGGATGGAACTGAATTATTGGGAAATCAAACTTCTGCTGGTCTCGCCTCCCGCCGTCATGGTTCACGGCCTATCTAATATGTCTGTTCCTTTCCCCCTCTTCCATCGTGCCCACACCAAATCGACCCCGTCTCTTGTTTTGGTATTCGACTTGACATACAGACCGTCGCACGGGAAGACGACGGGGGGGCACGCCGCCGCGCATGCACAGTTGCACACCGCGCAGGCCCTTCAACCCATCTTCACTCCAATCCAGGCTGATGGGACGTGAGTTGATGGGGCAGCGGGCGATGCTTGATGAACTGGCATACTGCGTAGCCTGACTGAGCATCTCTGCCCGGGGCGGTCGGCAGTGATGGCCCAGAAACGTAGAGGTCATTGCCCGATAGAGCTTGGTATGTATCCGCTTCGAGGCAGTTGTCAACCGATACATGTTCATCAGGTAGCCCTAGACATGGGATATGCTGCAGACTTGCTGCGAGTGGCGGCATCACCAGGTACCACGACCACCACCGTAGTATCGTACGCCGCGAACGCTGCGAGAAAAGACGGAGAGCAGAAAATAATACCAGGCTGTGTCCGCGAAGCAACTCTGCACATGCGAGCCTACCGCAGCAACATTGTCAGCATCATCATCAACATCAGCATCAGCATCAGCTCCAAGTACCACACGCGCCAGCAGCGCCAGCTGGAATGCAGCTTGTAGGGTGCCGAGTAAAGATACGGACAGAACCATCCGTATAAAATGCCTCGGCCAGGTGAAGAGGGCGCGGTACGACGATCGACCAGGGTGTGGAAACGGGGACCAAGCCGTTCACGCCGTTGGGCAATGCTCCAGACTACAGCGACTCCAGCTACTCCTCCCCAACCGGCTCAACGGCGGATCAAGACACAAATTGTGGATTGGAGGAGCATCTCTGCGCGCGGGGCGCGTGCAGGAGGAACACTGAAGAAGAGGTGAGCATATCGGCGCTGTGCAGTAATGCAATGTGCGTGTTGTGTATGTGTTGTGTTTTGATATGCCAGCACAACAACCCCAGGACTAAACAACTTTGCCGGATGCTGGGCTAAAGTGGTGTACATCTTGTACCTGGGATTTCATGCCTTGCTGCGAGTCTGCCACCGCAGATTCGTTATCCGTGGTGGCCAGATATGAATACCTCAGGCAAAGGTACCGTACGCCGTAACGTTCCTGACGGTACGCGCATGTAGCGTGCCACGCCCAGCAGGGCAAGACGGAGAACCAGGTCCAAGAATGGAGCACCGCGATGAAAATCCTGCAGCCTTATTCGACGATGCTGGCAGGGGCCGACCGGGACGGGGGTCTTCGTCGTCTGGTGAATGATGCGCTCCAGGAAGCGATTGGTATTTGGGTTCCTATGTACATATGTGTGCGTGATTGCGTGTGTGTGCGTGTGTCGTCTCGTCGCGACACGTAAAGAGTCCGGGTCGGTGCAAGTGCATTCGTCGTTCATTTTGGATGACGGGTATGAGAGGGAGATCCTGGGAACTGAGCAAACCTTGGAAACCTGCCGTAGGGGACCAAGAGGGGAACAATGCGGGCACAACGGCGACGGGGAGAATCGTAGTGTACGGAGACACTGGCAGACCGCGGTGACTGGCCCCCCAGCTGGCCGAGAGTGAGACGGTGATTGATCAAGACAACCCTGAACTCAAGACCTTGAACGGCCGGATCTGGAGGGAAGAAACTGGAGACCCAAAGGCAAAAAAGAAAGTGGCCTTGTCCTGCGTGCCTGCGTCCCGCGTCTGCGTGAAGGGAAAAGGCTGTCATCCGTGTCAGGTTGCCCGCTGTTGGATGGTTCAAGTGGTTCAAGCGCATAAAGCCTCGTTTCCACTTCTCGCACAACACGAAGAGTAGGAGAAAAGGGGAACCTGGCCAGCTGCCGCGAGCTTGCTGCTCATCACCAATGCTAGTACCATTTGGAAGCCCTGGAGACTAGGAAAAAGGGTCTCGTGGTGGCGGGAGTGATCAGAGGGGTCCAGGTCCAAGTTCCCAGAGATATCGGGGCAAAGGACCGTTGGGTGTCAGTGTGTCTTTCGTCGTCTCCATCTGGCTAATTGTCAATTCAAGCCATGAAACCGAGCTCGAAAAGGTGTTTCTAGTGTGTGGTGGATGGACTGAAGCATCACCATCACATCACACCTCAGAATGAGAAAAAAAGATTAAAAAGAAAAAGGGGGCCGCAAGCTCGGGGAAGGTGGAAAGTGGATGCAGCTCATGTCCGTCCGTTTGGTCACTTTTGGTGTACGCAGTAAGCTCAGGCACAGTACGTACCTGACATCTACGTAGTAGGTAGCCGGTACGTATCCGTATCCCCTCCCACATCCACAACCTCACCTCGTGCTTTACCTCCCACGCCTTCTTACCTTATCTACATACCTATCCGTAAGTACATACAGTATGGTACGAGGTACTTCGGCGAGCAGAGCATTTGGTTAATTCGGTACGTATCTGGACTGAGATGCTTCATTTTGCAACGCGACATCGACGCGATCAACTCAAGGCCGGGACCTGGCAGGATGTGACGGGTTTGAGCCCGCAGCTGTGTGTCTAATTGTCTAAGAGCCAGGTTAGCGGTGTGCTCCTGTGTACGGAGTAGCAGCTTCAACCGTACGGATAGGTGCCCACTGCCTAGTCATAGGACAGCTGCCGCGTTCCTCTTCCTACCTATTCCTTCCCCTCGGGTCTCCAAGCTTGACAGCAACAGCCGGCTCATCGTGTAGTGTGCAGCAAGCGGCGCCGGCTGGCAGAACGAGTGCGAAAGAGGCAAGAAGCAAGGGGACGATGAGAAACTGTCCACGCCAGCCAGTAGATCAGCCGGGGGCCCGGGAGGCGCCACTTTAGCGCCAAAAGGCTAACGTGGAAGGCTGCCCGAGACTGACTGGCGGGTACGTTGGGCCTCACGCCTCGAATGGCACCACGGGCGGTGTCCGTACCACCACCACGCTTTTTTAAGAACATAAAAGAGAAGACGGCCAGTTGCTTAGCTTTGTGCATACATAGCGTCTCCGATGGATCTGGCGCTGCCTTGGCTGCTCGCACAAGCCTCCGAAACAGCAGGCAAACGCCTACTAGGGTCAATTATGCCAGGCCCGTGTGTCCGTCCAACTACGCTGTCAAGCATCCCAGCGTCGCGATGTTCAGGTACCGGAGCACATCTTTCCCATTCGGCTGTGTGGGAGGTATTCGGTACCTGGCCCGCCTTGCATTGGTGGATTACTGCCGCATCAACGCCGTCGGTATCATTGGATGCTACTAGTTGGACAATGCCAGGGGCACAGAAGGCGAATGGAAGCATCCGAATGGTGGGGAGAGCTGATGATCCGGCCAACGAACTCGAAAATGAGCCTGAGGTACAGTGTAGTGACAGGCCTATCGCGGTAGTGGTGAAATAAATTATCGATGAAGCGCGGTAGCTTGTAGAATACGGGTAGGCATGGCAATGCGTACGAGTTACATTCTCAAATCTGCAAATCTTATCACCCACCTCGGGTGGGATTGGGAAATGCGAACGCCCACCCTGCATGTTGGGAATTGTGCAGGTGTTTCTCGTCGTTTCATGTCTCGCCGTTGAGCCCTAGACACTGGGTTGATAAGCCTCTGCATTGGTCGACACACTCATATAACTTATTAACCCACACGCTGCTAGCACGAAAGCAGAGTAAAATCTAAACGTCCTCAAGCCTCAACTCAAGCCTGCGGTGCGGAGTAGTAGAGTACGGTGTTCCAACATACAGTATTGGTATCCGCCATATGCCCTTGTTCGTCGCCGGCTCGTTTGCCTGTCCCCAGTGCTACCTTAGCTCGGGGTCTGCGGAACGGCCCTGAGGAGCCTTCTTGCTTGCGTGGTACTGTCTCTTGATTCGCTCGAGGTGAAAATGAGTACGGAGTATCAGTGATGCCGTCGAATTTGGTGCGGGTCTCGTCAATTCGCCTATTATGTCATGCTGCGAGCAAGCTACTCCAGGGACATACACTCATATCCGATCTTCAGAGACGTAGTGACATCAGCCGAAACCCATACTGCGTAGCTCACAGTTGATTACCTCCTCCTTTTCTTGGACTCTTTCTCCGATAGACAGTAGAGGCGACGTCGGCGGGGTTAGGATTGTCGGTGCGAACCTGATCCTGTAGCCAGAAGCGCGTCAGTGTGGGCACGTTCATAAGTCAGGAACAAGAGAAACCAGGCACAGGGGCGCAAAAAACGTGGAGGCAGCCCACCTGGGCAGGCTGGCGCTTGACATTGATGCGCGGATGGGCGAGCCCAGATTCCCAGCAGCCTGGTGTTGACTTTGGTGACCCAGGAGAAATGATGAAACGCGGCGGGAAGGTTGCGGGAAAGGGAATCAGGAGGGAAGCATCCGCACGAAGTACCTGCCTGCCTCAGAGAGACTGGATGTCGGATGATGACATGCTGTTGGGCTGGGCGCACGCCGCAAAGGGAAAGAATGCAGGTGGAGGAAGCTTCCTGCCTTCCTGTCGGCTCTAGCCCAGAAATGGCAGGGAGCTACATGAGCACTGTACTTCGTACTTGCTTCCGCGGTGATGAGCTCCAGGACCTTCCTCCGTGGCACTCGGGGGTCTTTTTGACGCACTACCAAGAACACTTTGCAAATCTCTTGTTGATTATCAAGAAAGAAAGGTTGCTCCCCTGACGTAGGTATACCCTTTCGCACTTACAAGTGACTACAGCATGGCTATGCGATGCACGGCGCCAGTAAGTGACGTTGCAGTGCTGCTGGAAACTCGCCGTTCAACGTTCAGCAATTCCCAGATGAAGCCACCAACTTGCAAAGTCTGTCGATGTAGGATGACTCGCTCGGCTGTTTTTCTCCTCTACCGCAATACCCAATTACCAGATACTTGGGTCAGAAGTCGACCACGGGCTTATGATGGCGCACATCGCCAACCGGCCGAGGCAACAAGGGGTCGCCAAGCAGAACAGGGCGCCCTGTCCCGCGTGCCTCGAAGCTCTCGACCAAGCTCGACCCGAACACGGGGAGCCGGAACTGACAATGGAGCTTCTCTTTGTCCCCTCTCTTCAGTCTTCCTTCGCCTACGTAGCCGTACTGGGACATTGAGACCTAGGGAACATTTGATGCTTTGGGAAAGCTCACCGGTGGTGACCATGCCAACGAACGGAGCTCATGGGGCAAAAAGGCCCTCTTCCCGTTCGTTCTAAACCATCAACTTGTCACAACGAGACAATCAGTGGAGATGCCCAAACCGAATGACACACTGCAATCCGCCGCACCCTACTGGGGGGAAAAACGATCTATAGTATTGCTTGGGCCCATAGTATGGAAAACGTCTGGAACATGTCGGCGTATGCACCATCTCTAACAGTAACCAAGGCCCCCCCCCCCCCCCCCTCTGATCGCCTCCGTTGCCGTCAACCGTATGGAAGATTCCTGCCTATGCATATACAAAAGGCTATCAGGACGTTTGGCTGCTTGGGATGGTTTGCCGCCTTGCCGCAGGCGCACTGCAGTGCGCACGTGGGTGTGTACACCATCGTCACTGCGTCTTTGCAACTGTCACTTGGAATGGCAACGTGCCAAGTCTCAGAAACATGCGGCCAAAGCAACAGACTCATGGAACGGAGGTAGCGACGTTGGTGAAGCAAACAAGTTGGACACCAACCGAGCACGTCGCAATGCGACGCCCACTATTGTCACCTCACCTCGACGACGTCGTCTCGAGACATGTCAATGGCCTCCTACTCGGGGAAATGATGTTTGTCAAACCCCCGCCCACCGAGTATCCTATTTCATCACTTTCCCCCCTCCCCCTCCCCCTCCTCATAATACCACGGGCCTTTCCGTTAGATTGGCAGCCAGAGAGGGATCAGAGGGGACCGCCATCCTTGGAAGGGGACTTTGATGAGAAAATACGCTGATCGACAAGCTACGGAGGAACGTTGGGCACCACGCAGTCGGTGCAATTTGGGAAGCACCAGATCTGTGCTCACTGCCCGTTTGACCAGGCGTTCGACCAGGGTTTGGCCGGAGAACGATCCACTTGCTGCATAAAACGTTGTGCATTGACACGAAAGCTTGCAATTGGGTATATGTCCATAACCGGTTTCTTTTAAGTGTCCATCCCCGATAAAGGGTTGCTAGACTGCGGGTCTCTATCACGATTCACCTCCCGCAGCCTTACATGAACACTACGGTTTGCTGCTGACAGTTTGAGTATTCGTGGCTTACAAGGACTTTGATTCTACCTAGACCGAAGGGACACATGACACGCCATGAGTTTATAATGCTAGGAGAAATGTTGATTGCGGCGTCAACGACATTAAGATAGCGATGTGTCATCTGACCTAAGCCCATCCTCACCGCTGCTTGGAAGGTCATACCGGTTTTCTGCAGGGAGACGATGGGTTGAGGAAATCCACATGCCTGCATATGTCACGGATGTCACAGTCCCCGACTTACAGAATTCTTCCTTCCGCAAGTAGAGAACCTTTGCTGATGTAAGTACCAAATTCAGTTTTGCAGACATGTCCAGTTGTGGAGAGTGATCCAAGGTTATAAAGCCGCAATCCACTCAAGGAACTAGCAAACGAAACGACAGTGTTCACCTGTGTCTCCTTGTGGCTCTGCCTCTAATGCAAGATAAGGAACAGGAAGAAGGGGGGGCGGCTCATGCAGTCTCAACCTCATTAACGGAAAACAGACATCACGGGGGATTACTAGCAGCCTTGAGGGTTTCTGGGCATACTCAAATGCTCTCCCACCCCCAAAATACATCTAAGTACCTTGTTATCGAGGAGATCCAGAATAGTATTGTGGGTGACTCGCAAGTACGTAAACATGGTTCAAATAAAACAACAAAGTGCCTACTTAGTATTTCAGATCGATATACGCCTTTTCAAGGTGCCTAGGCATACTGTGATGGAAAGATGACTATGCCGATGATTGCTTCCCATCGAGGTTCGCAATATTGATGGCTTCAACCGCGATGGCTGAAAAGCTTGAACACAACTCCCTTTCAAGGAGATCATGCACCCCTTGGCAGTCTCTTTTCACCAACTCCATCAATCTTCATGGGCCATCAAATCACACCGCATTTAGCCAGAATTGGGGTTATCCTCCAGCTTATCTCTTCAGGCCTAGTAACACATGCACCACGTGGCTACCGTCACTGGACCTACCCTTTTTGGCCTGCAACCATATCGGGCCTTCGGAATGCATCGGTTGAACCGGTGTGAGGGGGGAATCACACAACCCCGAAGATGCAGGCTGACCGGAGTAACGGTTCACGGGAGCCAACGAAGAGGTCCCACTACTGCGGAGAGAAGGGTTCGACAAGAACCCGATGGGCGCCCTCAAGGAGCACGGGGGACGCTGACACGGCGCCTTATCCGGGACGTAGGTACCTACGACCTGCCGCACCTACCGCGTGCTTGGGAGCACCGATATTCGGCCCCACTTATTCATTCCTTCTGAAGGTTTGTGACTGTTGGAGGAATTTTTTCTGCTCCTACCCCAATTGCCTTTCGCCGACGACGGCTGTCAAAAAATATTTTTCTTCCTTCTTGGAGCCTCATCGTTCCCTCGTCGAAGTACGAGCGCCAATTCCCTCACTCCCGAAGAGGCCGGATTATTTGGTCCCGAAGATATCCTGTCGTTGCCTCGTTCCGACTCTCTCTTCCCTCGTCCGAAACACGAAGAAAACACGGCGTGGACCCTGTCCAGCTAAAAAAAAATACCCCGCCATCGGATACCCCGCCACCACCCACGGCCGAAGCTATCTCGAACACCAACACTCACAACCACGTCGGTCCTTTTGCGCAAACACTTGCCAAGCTTCTTTGAACAAGGAAGCATTGGATCGAACTCGAGAAGCCCTGATCTACCGCAAGATACTGCAAAGAGCAAGGCAAGATGTGTGGAATTCTTGGAATCTGCATGGGTCATTATGACCGAGATGAGGACAACTGCGACGCGGCGCAGGACATTCATGAAGCCATGTACCTTCTTCAGCACCGCGGTCAAGACGCCTGCGGTATTGCGACTAGGTAAGGAAGCTTTACTGAAGTCTAGTCAATTATAGGCTTGTGCTGACACTTGCAGTTCTTATGGAGGACGAATCTTCATGAACAAGGATTCCGGCATGGCAGCGACTGTCTTCAAGGACGGCAAGAGGGTCGTTGACTTGCCTGGGTGGATGGGTATTGGCCACCTTCGCTACCCTACTTGGGGAAGCAGTGGACGCGCTGAAGGTCAGAACAAAGCTGTGCCGGTAAAATCTCACGGCCCTTGAAAGGCTAACACAGATCACAGCTCAACCGTTCTATGTCAACAGCCCTTATGGAATCTGCCTGTCGCACAATGGCAACCTCACCAATGCGGCTGAGCTCCGTGCCTTCCTGGATAAGGACGCCCACAGGCACATCAACACTAGCAGTGACAGTGAGCTGATGCTGTCTGTCTTTGCCAACGAGCTTAACGAGACTGGAAAGGCGCGTATCAACGAGACGGATCTGTTCAGTGCGCTTGAGCGTACCTACAAGCGTATCCAGGGTGCCTGGGCCAGTGTCATCATGGTTGCTGGATACGGCGTGGTTGCTTTTAGAGACCCTGATGGCATCCGTCCTTTGGTCTGGGGTTCTCGCAAGTCGACTACTAGCCCTGATGATGACTCTTACGACTACATGGTTGCATCAGAGTCGATCGCTCTGCGCCAGCTGGGCTTCAAGAACATCACTGATGTCTTGCCTGGACAGGCTGTGCTCTTCAAGAAGGGCTGCCCTCCTGTTTTCCACCAGATTCAAGAACCCGCTTCTTACAGCCCTGACATCTTTGAATATGGTATGAAGAAACAACCCTGGGATAATTGCCGGAACTTGCTGACGTTATCAAGTGTACTTTGCGAGGCCTGACAGTGTCATCGATGGAATCAGTGTCCACGAGTCTCGCAACCGCCAGGGCATCAAGTTGGCTGACAACATCATCGCTAGGCTGGGCAAGGAGGCTGTCAAGGATATCGACGTTGTTATCCCTATCCCCGAGACCTCCAATACGGCTGCCGCGGCCTTGGCAGAGCGCCTCAGGAAGCCCTATTCCATGGGCTTCGTCAAAAACCGCTATGTCTTTAGAACTTTCATCATGCCTGGACAGCAGATGAGGCAGAAGAGCGTTCGCCGCAAGCTGAGCACCATCGATTCCGAGTTCCAGGGCAAGACCGTGCTGCTTGTGGATGATTCAGTGGTCCGCGGTACAACCAGCCGGGAGATCGTCACTATGGCGCGCGAGGCTGGAGCTCGCAAGGTTATCTTCAGCTCGTGCTCACCCGAGGTCATCCACCCCCACGTTCACGGTATCGACTTGGCATCGCAAAAGGATCTCATCGCTCATGGACGCACCAACGCCGAGATTGCCGAGCAAATCGGCGCCGACGACATCATCTACCAAACGGTCGAGGATCTCGTTGCCTCATGCGCCGAGCTGTCTCCCCGTGACCCCAAGACGCAGACTTTTGAGGTTGGTGTCTTTAGCGGTTGCTACGTCACCCCGGTTTCCGAGGCCTACTTGGAGCAGCTTGACGATGCCCGCAACAGTGGCAGGAAGCGTAAAGCGCTTGTTGCCAGCAGCGGCCCCGTGCTTACTGGCACCGCGGACTCTACGGATGCTCCTGCTGCTAAGGTCGCCAAGACCAATGGCTTGGCGGCCCGGACACGAGCTGACCCGCAGTCCCCGGGAAACCCTGCGGACATTGGGTATGTACATTGTTTGCCCTTACAATATGGGAAATGTTGACTGACTGAAGGGCTTGCAGCATCCACAACGCGGCTCATGAGGGGGAGAACTAGATGATAGAAAGAAGCTCACGCAATTATCCAGAGAGAGGCTGGGACTGGGGTATACAGAAAATCAAAAATTCAGGAGAGGCGTTGGGGAGGGATTGGCATTTTGAAACTACATCGCATTCATCTCTGAGGGTTTTCCACTCAGGTTTGGAGTTGGGTACTCCATTTGGTACTCGGCTGGTTAAAGAGAGAGAGAGAGAGAGAGAGAGAGAGAGAGAGAGAGAGAGAGAGGTATGGTCATTCATACGAAGGGTTCTTTTCGAACGTTTTACACATAGGCCATAGAACGATTCATGAGAATTGATCATCCATTCAAACAATTGCTCGGCGGACTTCAATGGTCGTTGGAATGTATCCGGTAGTAGCATGGAAAGTCCAGGGGGATATGCCAAAGCACAGGGAGGCTCTGCATAAATACTGACTGGGGTGGTTAACCCGGCTAAGTGCATGCGCTTTGCACTTGCACATCATCACGGTTCAACATCGCTTCATTTGTGTCATCTACACTAATCCGTAGGCCCGAGCCCGAGGGTTCCATCGACCAGTCAGTTGTCTCCATCCGCGTTAGACGGTGACCAAATTCCGTGAAACGATCCACCGTCTTCACTGATGGATCGGAGCGTTTCTCCCTCCCCTTCCCGTCAGCCCACAGGTGGTTAGGTTACAAGCCGGACTGACTGGTTCCCAGCCTCTAGGTAGGTAGCCTTCCGCACGGAGCCTATCGCGACTCATATCCCAACCCTCATCCCAGTGCATGTATCTCTTCCACCAAGGGCCCTTGATCAGTGGGGGGACAAAAAGATGGAGAGAGAAACTCTCACTGTGAACTTCGTGAAGAAAGAGACGATGGAAGGAAAAAAAAGGTACATGACCAGGGACCTGGCTCGAACTTTGGGAAGAACAGGGCCCGGACGACCAACCGGCACATCCGCGGTTCGACGACCGGCGTCCATTTGGAATGACAGCTAGTGGGGGGTATTGCCCTTGTGCCCAAGTTTCCCAATTCCCAGTAATACCTAGGTAGTGTCCGTGCCAGCCCAGAGGTAATAATCCCATCCAAGCCCAAAACTCTGCTGGGCGAACCCGCCCACTGGCTGCATTTTGAGATGAGGTAAATCTCATGGGCGAAGTTGCCAGAAGATGAGCGCCTGTGTGAGTAAGTTATTGACTTAGTGTACGGGCTCACTGGCCCCCCCCCCCCCCCCCCCCCCCAGTTGGCGCCATCGCCGCCGCCGCCGCCGCGGCAACATCTTCACGGTTGACTAAGGTAAGACAATCTCTCCACTATGGCGCCCCCATCGTCCGGACTCCACGACCCCTTTCTCACCTGCTAGATGCACCCTTTTGCCTTTCTTTAGGGTGTCTTTCGTTACTTTCAGCTTGATGGATACTTCACACCGGTGAACCCATCAGGCAGGAAGACGAAGGAGGGATCGTCTCTTGGTGGATTCGCAACTACGAACCGGGCTTCTCTGTTACCTGTGTTACCTGTATGCTTCGGCCTGGGAAAGAAGAACATGGACATGGTCACCTTCAAGCGCCGGCCGCAGTGGCAGCGCTGGTGATGTAGTGTTGCACAGCTTTATGCTTCCCATCAGGGTCGGACCCTTGGACGAGGAGGGGAAAAGGACCCCAAGGAATGCAAAGCCCGCGCCGTCCGCCGGTCTCTTGGGACGGCTGCGTTTTGGCATTTTTTGGGCCAACAAACCCCGCCAGATGGGCAATGCCAATAGTCAATAGCTATGCCTGGCAGATTGGGCCCATGCAAAATGCAAGCCGTGCGGCTGCAATGTCACCGACGTTTGCTGACGGGCATGAATTTGGCCAAGGTCTGGCCGGGTTTCCGGTTCCTTTCTTTCCCAGGCGTTCCAACCAATCCCTCAAGTCTTCGGGCCAATCTGAATTGGGAGGCACAGCGTCTCTAAGTAATTAGAAGGTATCGAACCGAGAACCATGCTCAGCTGGGCTTGGGAAGCAACCGCATAGCCGCATTATCATAGTCAACTTCGAGGCATGGAACCAGAGATGATGGACGATGGATGATGCCCCTCCCTCCCTCTTTCTGCAGTGCACAAGCACACGCACAAGCGCGGGGCTTTGGCTCCGCGTAGAGTCTTTCTGGTTCCAAGCTCGTTCTCAATGATTTTACTTGGGGCCGTTTAATGTGCCTCGAATATTGCCAGACAAGGGGGCCGGATGGGATTGGTATTCCGCTTTCTCGAAAAGAAGAGCACTGGCCCATTTTCAGGGACCCCTCGTGGGGTTTTCGTGGTGATACAATCTGTCGCCTGTGTTTCCACTAACCACCCCCTATCCTGAATTCCCTTTGTCCCGTCCATGAGGGAGGGACGTGCGAATTGTCTCGTGGAAAGGGCAAGGCAGACTGTCCTCTGGAACTGCACTGCATTATCCGTACGGATACGCATACCATGCGACGCGCAACAGACTTCTTCCAGAAGCTCTGGGCCGCGGGTTCCTTGCCTGGGCCCCATGTCGTCTCAAGTTCATCCGTGGTTGCGTTTCTCGGGCTACTCTGTCCCGCATTGTCTGACAGCCTATGTCTGTCCCGTCTATCAGTACTCCGTACTTCGCTGCCCCTGGAACTCATATTACGGAGGATGCTTTAGCGATCCGTCTCTAACTCTTCATCCAGCAAACGGAGTGCTGCTGTAGGCCGGGGCACTCTCGTTTCGCTTGTTCTTGGCTTCTACACGAGACTCACAGAGACAATGGCGTTGTGCCAATTTCGGGGTCTCGCAACAACTTGTGACTGATCAGAACGTGATCTCGTGATCGGTGGATATATGGATATCTATTTCCCAGAAAGCCACGCTTCACTCATCCTTGTGCTGACTCGGAGTGGGCGCGGAGATCACGATGTCGTGCTGCCGATGCACCTGTGCGGACCTAGAGTTCTGACGCTGTGCATCTCCGTTGTTGCATATCCTCCCGGGGCCCTGTGGTTCACTGGTGACGGATGCTCCATCTTCATCATCCTCATCTCTGGGCAACGGAAATTTTCCCATCCTTTTTTTTTTGCGCGATTCCGTTAATTACTGCTGCTGCAACTGGACCACCAACCACCCTTGGAGACACACCCAGACATTGGAAGGATGCTGGTGTGACCAGGGTACGAGGGAGGTCCGCCACGGCTGGCTGGGAAGCATCCGGCTTATCTTGTCCCACGAAGTTGGGAAACCGCCGATCCGGAGCCGCCGCGTGGCCGGGCAGAAGCTCTTTTTCCCAGTCCGGATGCCGCGACATGAAAGGTGCCCGTGGCAACGACGCAGATGTATTGAAATTCTGGACGATCCCTCTACCGTAGTTAGAAAAGGCTGTTTCGTTTTAGTGTAGGGCCACCTGTTGGACCCTTGGAAAGCTTCACGCGAGAGGAGCAGAATGTACTCCGTACGGAGTATTCCAGCACACCCTCCTCCCCTCCCCTCCCCTCCCCTTCCCTTGTGAATCTCGTGAAGCGTAAAAAAAGTCCCCGCGCTCGCCTCGCTTCGAAATTTCGTTGAGACAGGCCCTGAACTGAGAATTAGAGGCCGCTGTTGCAGTAGCTCCATGCCCTGCAAAGTCTAGCGCCCTGCCAGGCGTGGAGATTCGATTCCGCTTCTGGAAGCTGTGGAATTCTCTTCTCTTTCTCTTCCCCCCCCCCCTTCAGGACCCCGTGGACGATGGAAGAGACCGACCGAATGGAACCCTATGTTGAGTAAGACGGCGGATGCAGCGGTGTACATTTCCGAATAGAGATGAGGGCATCCACTGCCGTTCACCGGACAACAGAGTATCGTGCCGAACGGAACGTTCTCCCTCCATGTGAAGAAGACCCATGTGGAGTGACTGTTGCATAAGCCGTTTTGTGAGAGCCGGAAGTGTACAAGCTTTATGCGTCTGACTCCCGAGGTTCCACAGCGCCGGTAGGTTTTTTTCTTCGGAGGTGGCCCCGGATGGTGGCTGACGACACAGGAAAAAACTGCAGCGGTCTTAGCCGGTCATAAAACCACCAAAAAAAACATACAACACCAGGTATTCGCTGATCGTCACCGACTCAACTACTAATCCGGCCCTCATTGGCTTATCTATGGGAGAGCGGACGGGATCCCGAGTTTTCCAATGGGTATGGTCGTATGTGCTTGTAGGCGATGAAAAGTTTCATTATGTTGGAAAGAGTGCACTACGCGCCGACTCCAGGTTGACTTTACACGCGCTATATTCAGCATCGAAGTAACTCCTTTATGAGCTCCTTTTCATATGTTAATAGAGTAGTCTACGATTCTGGAAGAGAGGAAGCCGTTGAGCAGTATACTGAAAATGACAGAGTCAATATTGATAAATGAAGATAGTAGTAGTAGCAAGGCTGAGTTCTGAGAGAGTCATTAGACCATTTCTTCAAAATCCCCTTCCAATACCTAGCAACGTCTTTATTTGGGTGAAAGCTTGCTGACTCTAAGTATTAGGTAGGTGAATATGTATGGTCTATTACCCATCAACACCATCTATTTGACAGGCTGAGTAGTTGGGGTGTTTTGCTTGGGGTGTCCCCCGAATCTAACAATTAATTGAGGGCATCGCCATGTTGTGGTGGGTAGCTACTCATCAAGAAGTCGCGGGCGAAAGTAGATGTCTCGTCTAAAATAAAAACGCATCAGGTCCCTCGCAGGATATATGGGCGGGGGTAGCTAAAGCAACTTACAGATGCACTGGGCTTGGAAGTATAGTGTTTGTCGTCTAGCAAGTGTGCATGAGGGAGAAAGAATGTCAGCGAGTACTATCTTAGTATGAACCGAAATCCGAACTCTCTCTCTAATGTGAAATCATCCTGTGGTGTTCTTATAGTGATTGGTCAACCGAATAAATCACTCGATGCTTCAATTTTAGGCTGGGTACCTGTTCAGGTGCCCCCCGGGCCATCGTTCTTGCCTCATACTCAACCTCCATTCCTGCCTTGAAAAGGGTAGGAACGATGAGGAATAACAACGTCCCTTCTCCATACGCCCTTGGTTGCCTAAAGGGCAGGCTGTCAATCCGGGTCTTCTTCCTCTGCATCCTTCCACTTATTACCCCTCCCTCACTCACTCAACCCTCTGGAAGATTCCCATAGACTTCACAAAAAATCCTTCACTCGGACGCACCTTTCGCATCGATCCTTCCCCAGAACTCTTCCCATCCGGCACATAAACGTCACCACCTATTGAGTGTACCTCCAAGTCAAGAAAACCTTCCCTCTATTTCCTACCTTCGACGCCAAAGAAATTTGGTGATCCTCTTCTTCTTCATACACAAGTCCCGCCCGAAACCCAGACCACAGCCATGTCGTCCTACCACTCCTCTGGCCCTAGCAGGTAAGTAAATCACAGCATTATTATCTCACCGAGGTCGACGGCACTAACAAAAATTTCACAGTTCCCAGGACCTTGGCCAGAAGCTTGGCCAGAACATGGCCGAGAAGTAAGTTGTGGAAAATGAGAAGGGCGCCCATTTCATTATTGTCTGATCACGCTGACTTTTCCTTATAGGTATCGCTGCAAGATTGGCGGCGAGTGGAAGCCGATGTCCGGCTTCTCCAAGAAGCAGCAAAAGCTTGTCCACGACAAGCTTGATCGCCACGCCAGAGTCAACCGTGCCAACACTGGCATGGTCTGCAGAATCCACTCGGGTGAACCCGTCAATGAGATTTCTTGCGAAGGCCCTTGTGATGAGATAAAGACCCTGGATCAGTTCTCCAAGAACAACAGAACTAATGGCGTCAACGTAAGTACTCAAGACAAACAGCATTGCCACTTGCGCTCATACCTAGTGCACAGATCTGCAAGTCGTGCCAGCACTGGATCAATACTCAAGAGCCTGGCTACACGCCCTGGGCCGGTCCCAACACTCAGCAGGACCTCCTCGAGGACTCAGATGAATACGATGCTCGCCTCCTCACCGATCCTTCTGAGATCTTTGACTTCAACAGTGAGGTCGATACGGTGAGAAAGAGCACCTATTGCCAACCTGAATAAGACTAATGTGCTACTATAGCCCCTGGCTCCCATCACTGGTACCAACGGTATCGCCACCACGGATGAGAATGATCTCCAGACGGGCTTTCAGTCTCTCGGCCTTGAGACTCGCCAGTCTTACGCTGGCGGCCCGCTCGGCGGCCTTGCGGCTCGTAACTACCTCAATGGTGGGCGCAACGCCCCTGTCTCCCTCCTGGATAGTGAGAGCATTGCCTCTGCTGCTACCTCGGCCATCCTTGGTACCACCGACACAGCTGCTGCGCGCATCAACAACCCTTTCTTGGACATCAACTACAATGCCTACGACCCGAATGGTCAAAAGCACCTCAAGACAAAGGCGCCCACTACGCAGGCTGGCAGCTCTTCCAGGCCGAGCTCCATGAAGGCCACTTCCAGCCGCACCCAGGCCAACGAGGGAGGTCGCCCCGAGAGCGGACCCAAAGCTACCGTCTTCGCTACTTCCAGCGTTGCTCCCAGCGGCCCCTGGCCCGGTGTAAGTTCATGGATCACTTTTTATTTTCCAGTACTGGACTAATACAAGACCGAAGAATCGTCAGGGCGACAGAAAGCAGCTCACCAACAAGGAGCACCGCGAGCTCCAGAAAGGCAAGCCCTCCAGAGTGTTCAACCCTATTCCCTACGGCGACGATGATGAATACAGTGACGACGAGTAGGGGCCTTGGTGACAGACAAGTATGAGGATGCTCAAGGGAAAGACGGGGGTTCGGGATGGTTAGGGTCATAGGACGGCAGTTACGGAAAAGTTTTGCTCTTTTTATTTAGGTACACAGGTAACCTCCACAACCCTGATAATCAGTTCACTTTGCACAACACATAACGTTCCCTATGCAGCCATGTGTATTTCAACTGTGTAACGAGAGAAACATGTAGCAAAAAGAAACCCAAGACGCCCACCGCCATCCAGTCTCATTGCCGATGCGGCCTGTCCAATGTGCGTGTAATCCCGTGCTCCTGTCCAGCCGGGGTGATTCTTTTTGAGAATGCCCCCAAACCATACCCAAAAGTAGAAAACAAAAAACGATGTGTCCCTCCGCATGCCGCAACGGGCGCGGAGATGATCCTATCCCAGATTTCCAACATGATGCTGGCTTATAGTACTCCCGCCCTCAACTGCGTGACGTTGACCTGACCGTAGATGCCCCAAACCTTTTTGACCTTGCCCCTGTGGATCAAGTGAGGGAAGGGGTTCAGCTCTGCGACTTGGTCTCGCTCGCCGCACATTGAGGAGCGATTAATGACCTGTTTCAAGACAGGCTAATCACAAGTCGTTGTCTTGCTTAAAATACCCAGGATCTGTGTCGCCCCGATTCATCATCTCCTGAGCGTCTCCCACCTGCCGACGCTCCGTGATCTCGCGATCCTTGAGCCTCTTGTGCAGTGTATACCTTAACCCTAGCGTCAATCCTCGAGCGTTCCTGTCCCTCATGACTGCTGGTCCCTATTGGAGAGGTTCCGATGAGCTGGACAGACGATTGAGATGTAAGTAAACATCCGTGCCATATCTACATCAGGGATTAGCTTGAGGTTGCGTGAAATCAGTCCGAGGCGTGGCGCGCAACTTACCCTTCCATGCTGATAAGTTTCAAGTCACCGCCAAAGTATCGCGCGTAAAGTCGTGAAATAGGCAACCCGTACCCAAAGCCGGCCATAGGCGCCTTGAAGTCGTTCTTATCAAAGTCCGGGTCGAGATTCGGTGTGCGATCCACAGTGGTATACATATATGTCCAAACGAGAGGTATAGAGCTTCGGGGAATACCACCACCCTCATCCGAGATTTTGATGGTGATATCCTCCTTACCCTCGGCAACAATGACCTTGGTCACAGGGAATTCCTGCTTATCCTGGCCGTGCGTTTCGACAACGGCGCGAAGAGAGTTTTTGAGAGTTTCAAAGAGCATATGCGACAGATGCCCTGGAACGTACATGAAGTTCAGGTTAGGATTGCAGACGAGCTGGATCTTGGGTGCTTCGAAAAGTCCATAGTGGTCCTCGCAGACAAAGCGCGCATTCTCAATGGCTTCTTGCGCGAGATCCTGAACGTTGGTCTTGGTACAAATGATACCGACGTATGTGGGATCGCGGTGATGGCTTTGGTCTGTCAAGGCAATGTGCTGACCGATGAGCATGCGGATTCCTATACGCGACATGTAGAACCGATCGAGGAATGACTGGATGTTGTTATCAATCTGCATGCGCTGTCTTTTGCGCTTGTACTCCAGGATGCCCTGTGCCATAGTGGTGACAACTCCGTCGTGGCGCCTCTTGATGCCGTGCAGGGCTTTGGCGAACCGCTCGTTGTACAAGCGCAGCTCGGGCGGCCAATCGCCGATGTCGTCTACCATTGCAAAATATCTCCGTGCGGCGACGTTCTTCTGCTTGCTCCAACCGTTTCCATTGGATTGCGGCAAAGATGCATATTGGCCTTCCTCGATGCTTGGGTTTCGGGTCGCCTCGGATAGCATTGGGCCTTTACCATATGATTTGGCAGGCCTCAAGAGTCTTTCTTTTGTCGATTTGTCCAAGTCAGGTCGGGGAAGTTGTGTGAGTTCCTGCGCGGACGGATAAGTGTCAGTGAGTCATGTCCGTTATGCATTATGCGATAGAAGAGTCTTGACGTACCTCGAATGACTGTGCGTACCAGTCCTGCACTCGCTTCACGGAGGGCATATCGTTGAGGCCATCTGGAAGTTCGTCGAGCTCTTGTACGCGATGGGCAAGGCGGATTGGTAGCTCCTCGGCAAGGAATTGGGAGGCACGGAAGAGGGTTCCTGAGAGTAAAATGGACAGTCAGCACTATGGCACCTTGAACGAAAAGCTAGTCAAGTGAGAATTGGCGCATTGCTATCGCATGCAGGCTGAGCAAGCAACGGAGCAGAAGAGAGGCAAATGCAACCCGTTAGGGGGCGGAGGGGAGCTGCCAAGGGTTGACGAACCGACTGAGGGCTTCTCTCCAAACTGGACCATCTGCCTCAAGCTCACGCCAGTTGCCGGGAAACTGGCGTAATGCCTGATGGTATCCATCAACCTATCCGTCTTCCTCCACGACATGTTGGGCGGCTCTGAATTGGTGATCTACTGTTGAGATGAGGTATTCGAATCGAACCCCGCGTGACCGAGTTGGGGCGGCCTTTACCGAGGCTGTATGACGCAGGGCAACATGGAACAGACACGAGCGGGCGAAATGCGGAGGAAGAGAGGTCGAGGGATTGCGAGACGAGGTTGAAGATAAAAAGCCAGATCTACTGCCGCATAGTCAATGGGAGTGAGGAGAGATCGCGTGCAGCGTGCGAGAGGTGTTTCGTGTAGGTTTATTTCTGGTAATGGAGACGGAATAGGAACTGGGACCTCAAGAAGGTGAGAGCTTGGGATTGCCGGGGACGACAGGAACAAGGCCGGGCCAGGGCTCCTCAGTGGAGAGTTCCTGATGCTCTGGGCGGACGGCAATGGTACGCAGGTACTTGCCCCGACTCGGTCGGCGTCATACTGCCTAGGCCCATGGTTCGATGATAGCACGACAGGTACCTTGACCCGGCTTACATAGCCGACCGTAAAGGTGCGCTTCGAGCGAGTTTCCCGCCGGTTCAGGCCGTAACGACGGTTCGCAATTGTTTAGCCCGAGGTGCCAGAGTGTCTGTTCAGGTCCTGTATTCGAACAGGTCTTTGCTCGTTGGAGAATGGCTATCCCAGGTGTTGTTTTGACGGTATCACGGCAAGAGTCTCTGTGCGTTGCCCGACTCCGTCTCACCTACTCTACAGTGTGGTCACACATATCTAAAGTTCTCCTACAGCGTGTGGTTGTGGGCTTGATTGATGCCATGTAGTATCTCCAGAAGAAACATTGGGTATGGCGCAGATAATGAGCAGTTTTGCTCTGTCATCCAAAGATACGCTTCAGATAAAAAGCTCCAGAAAAATGGGAAAAGGACCGAACCATCAAACCATGAAGATGAAACAAAAATAAACAAAATCGAATAGCCAGCAGGCGCACCAAATGGCAATTTGGAAGTATATACCAATGAAGAGTCACGATTACATGTCGGGCATGTGACGGAGTGACGGACGGCGGAAAGGAACGGATCATGGCAGTTGATGTGTACTTCCGTCACTATCAATTTCCTTCTCCAACTCTGTAGCACGCGACGACAGTCAACCGCGGCGGAGGGGCTCTCGTTCAGCGTCTGCCCTTCCTCGTAGCCGAGAAAGCTGGGCCCGTGCCTTGACTTCCCCCACACTCGCACTGAGAGGTAAATGCTGACGTAAGGTCTTGAGGAAGCTCCCGTGGCCGCCAAAGTTACGAAGCACTTGCTTCGTACGGCACCGAGGCCCTCTGAGGTCAGGTAGGGGCACCTCCACGACAGCACCAGCTCCGGCCGTCACCACCCCAATCACATCCCGGTCGCGCCCTTCCCTTCTGGCAAAATGGCCCTAGGTAAATCCGTCTCCAGCGTTCACCCATTGTCGGAGTCCCAGCTTGACCCCTGTGGTCACATGCAAGGCGCCACAATTCTTCAAGCCCCCAGAGTCGCTCGTCCAGCCCTTACCAGCCTCCCACGCCTCCTAAAGCCACCTCACGCGTCGAACGCGCCAAAGACAAGACTCGACGCATCGCCAATTGGTCGGCCTCTTTGACCAAACAGCGCCCGATTCTCCTGCAGCGGACGCCCGAAATCCCCCAATCTTTGGCATTTGCACCAGAAGCTGCCCTTTCGGATCGTCTTCGGGAATACTACCTCCCACTAGCTTGCCGCGCTGTGCTGCTTTCATCGGGTGCATGCAGAGTCGACTCGTCGCATTGCAATCGAGCCCAAACCGGTAGTTCTTTGCCTTGTCGCGCGTCTTTTCCGTTCCCCATATCTCTGAGAGGAATACCTACATACACACGGGGACTATTTGTCTAGGAGGCCAAAGACCCGGTTTTTCGGTTGGCCGGCCGCCGCCCTATTAAACATTGTCCAAATAATTACTTCAATGACCAGCAATGTCGGACGGCAGATCGGATTCGGGGCTGGGCCTACGTTTTCTCGATTTGAATGACGATGAGGACGACAACAGCCCATGCAAAGGCCGCTTGCGCCGCTCCAGGAGTCAAACGAGCAAATCAGTCCCCGTAACGCCGCATGCCTCTTCACCGCAAATTTCAACGCCCTCTCTACCCTCACCGATGAGCTATCGGGGCTTCTCACCTCTCTCACCGACTCCTCGCCAGCAATTTTCAACGCCCGGTGGTTATTTCTCAACGCCGGTGGCTAAGAGCCCCCTGGCGCGCTCATGGACCGAGGATGATCTCACTGCATCAACCCATTCACATGGGACTGAGAAAACGAATGAGAACACTGAAAATACTCGAGATACTCTCGGTCTGATCCAGCGGCTCAATGACTTGGCGCAAAAGCTCCTCGCGGGCGAAGATGTACCTGACACCAACGTTAGCGCCATGCACGGAAAGCTTGATGAGATCGATACAGTTCTAGCCGGAGAGCCGCCTCAAGCAACACCACAGGGCAAGCCAAAGAACTGGCAGGCGGACGCTCGGAGTGTCGAGCACGAGTCCTTGTGGACTTCGCCTTCGCCGTCATGGTTCCGGTCTGGCCTCTCAGAAATCTCGCCGTCCTTCCGCAGCTCATTTAGAAGAGATACGCTCTCGCCCGAACCTACCGTCGAAAGGAAGCCTGCGGTTGATACTTTCCGCATCGCATCCGAAGCAGCAAAACTCAACATTGAGCTAGAATCCCTCGTCACAAACCTCAAGGCCCGTCAAGAGGAATCCGAGGTGAGACATAAGAATACCAAGCTCGGAGAAGGGGTCTACTGACTAGAACACAGCACATCCACCAACTTCTCGTGACCCGCGCAGAACGCGCAGCACAAAGAATCATTTTCCTTCAAGGTCGAGTACAAAGCTTGTATGTCTCGAAACAGTCCTCTTGAGATGTAATTGTACGGCATGACATACTGACTCATCGCAGGGAAGAGGAACTCCAAGAAAACGACTCAGAACTCAGCTACCTGCGCCTAGGCCTGAAGGCTATAGAAGTGCAGTGCCCAACCGATATTGACGATGACCTCGCCCAGAGTATTCAAAACTGGAAGACTGACTGGACCGCTCTCAAACGAAAACGCTCCAAGCATAAAAGCTACGACCGCTCCGCTTACAGCACACCCGCGGGCACGCCGTTACGGCGGTGACTCTGACCCCGACTTTGTTTTACAGCTTTCGTCTTTGATGCGTGATGACTATAGAGATTTGAACGAGTGATGAAGCCACAAAAGTTATCAAGTACGGTTACGACTGAAGCATAGCAATGGTGTTTGGAAAGATAGCAGGATACCCAGTCCACGCAATCTCGCATTTCCTCTTAGGTCCCTTTACTACAGCATAGCGGATACCACAAAAAGTCACGATTACAGTTTCTTGTTTTACCTTTGGGCAGTTGGGAGAGAAAAGGAGAAGGAGGATGAGAAAGGAAGGGGAATAGGTTTCAGTACATTTTCCCATGACCAATTATGAAGTTCAAGCCCAAACGACTCTGCTCTGTTTGCACAAGTGAGACCATCTAGTACAGAGCGGAAGAAGAACAAGACCTAGCTTCTCATCTCTCGTCAAGAAGAGTAGGCTTAAGTAGCAGGGCTTGTGAACCAGACAGAAAAGGGAGGACCTCATGCGTTGGTCTATCAAGATTCCAAGACTGGTTGTTGTGAACGTCTCCCATGGCAAGCAAGGTATGTCGTCAGAGCTGTCACAAGTGGTCTTGGTCTTGGTCTTGGTCTTGATGAGGCACTTAAACTATCCCAAGGTATATAAAGGTAACGCCAATAGGTTCAAAACACGCGGACCAAAAAGAGTTCACCACCGGTGTGGCTACATCTCTGGGTGCTCATGCTGGGATTCGAACTCGTAAACCTGGCAAAGGCTAAACCAGTTGGATAGGCTCGCCCGTGACCATCCCGCCAAACGGCAGTTTGACCTGACCTCACAAGTCTGTGAGGCGCCTGCTGCCGTTGGTGACGGAATTGGACCTGAGGGGGTGTATATACCTTAGGCTTCTCTCGCGGCGGGTGTGGAAGGTACGGCCAGCACCCGCCTGCTCCTTCCAAGCCGGACTATCAAGGTGGGCAGGCAGGCAGGCACGTCCCCGGGTTATGACGCTGCTCGTGGGAAGGCAAGTCCATCCCACCTCAGTCTCCAAACGGTCGATGAGAGGACCCACCAGGAGCTTTGGCCCGCCTGTTGACATACCCTGTCGCTCCTTCCTTATTTGTCACGCTTGTTTACCCCTTTTCAAACGACATGCGGCTCACTTTACACTAGAGTCGTGAGTGGCATCAGAAGTCGAAGCCAGCCCGGCCAAGAGCTTTCCAGAGACTGGGTAGCACGATGCTTGTTGTCACTATGGGCAAGGCAGCACGATCAAACCACATGGCTTCGTATTACTATTAATTATTACGCAGACAACGCTCTACATTCAGGAATCATCTACATGAGCATGATCGTCAGGATCACATAATGGCCTGATGATCAGGCCAGTTCAATACCGTTTCAAGTCTACTACACATTCGCACGAACTCCCAGCACACAATCCATTTAGTCCAGCATCACCGCCCGTCTACTGTAGCCAGTGTTCTTGTCAACGCCGACCTTGACAGTGGCATCCGCAACAGGCGCCTTGACGTCGTTGCAGAGGCCCTCGGTCTGCTCCTTGGGCAGGAACACGCGCGGCAGGCCACCGGCGGGCATCTGCGCCCAAAGACGGCCCTTGGAGGCGATAGTAAAGGACTCGCAGTTCAAGACGTCGACGACCTCGGCACCGATGGCGAAGCCGTGGACGTTGCGCGCAATGGAGAACATGACGCCGTTGTTGGCGGCGGAGCCGCCGTTGGTGTACATGGAGAAGAGCTGACCCTTGCGGAAGCCGATGACGCGGCTGCTGTCGGTGCTGCTGTAGGAGAAGACGGCGCGAGTGCGCTCCTTTGTGAGGAAGTCGGCGTTGGCGGTCGCGGCGTGGACGCGGATCTTGTTGGTCTGCTGGATCCAGCCGTAGAGCTCCGCCTTGTCGTCGTAGCCGCCCGTCCAGAAGACCTCGCGGTTGTTGGGGTTGGGGCCGCCGTTGAAGTGCTGCTCCTGGCCGTAGTAGACGATGGGGATGCCGTCGCGGAGCATGGTGAGGGCGTACATGTTCTTGGCGAGGGCGATGTCGCCGTTGAGGTAGGGGAAGCGGGGCTGGTCCTGGTTTTCGACGAAGGAGCCCCAGACGGAGGGGTCGATGGAGGACATGCCGGCCATGGTGTTGGCGCTCTCGTAGACGCCATCCATGTCGCCCTCGAGGGTGGAGAAGACGGTGGCGAAGAGGTGGTAGCTGCTGTAGTCCATGATGCCGTCGAGGTAGTTCTGGTAAGGGGCGAGCAGGGTCAGGGAGGAGTGACTGACTTCGGCGAGGAGGAAGACGCCGGCGGCCTCGCGGAAGCCGCCCTCGGTGAAGAACTCGGGCTCGATCTCGAGGGCGGTGTCGACGCGGAGGCCGTCGATGGAGTACTTTGTGACGAGGTCCTTGATCCACTTGGCGTAGATCTTGCGGACGAAGTCGTCCTCGGTGCGGAGGTCGGGCAGACCCTCGAGCCAGCAGAGCTGCTCGGACTGGAGGTTGTTCCAGTTGATGGCGCACTCCTTGTGGTAGTACTCGGGCTTGTTGAAGGGCTTGTACTTTGTGTAGTTGCCGGGGGAGTCGTTCAGACCAGAGTGGTTGGGGGCAACGTCAACCATGAGGTACATGCCGCGGGCATGAAGGGCGGCGGAGAGCTCCAAGAGGTCGGCTTCTGTGCCAAAGTGCGGGTTAATGGAGTAGAGGTCCTCGGTCCAGAAGCCGTGGTAGCCCTCTCCGTTGCCGCCGACGTTGCCCTCGACGTTCTTCACGACGGGGGAGATCCAGATGGCGGTGGCACCCATGTTCTGGATGTAGTCCAGCTTGCTGGTGATGCCTTTCCAGGTGCCGCCGCAGTACAGGCCCGGGGTAATATCGCATACCGGGGTGGAGCCGTCAGAGGTGGCGAAGCGGTCGGTGATGATCTGGTAGATGCTCTGGTTTCTCCATCCGGCGGCGTCCAAGGCAGATACGCCCTGGAGAGCCCCGACGGCCAGCAAAGAGAGTGCTGTTGCGAAGGAGCGCATGGTTGTTTGTTCGAGGAGAAGATTAAGGTATTAAGGTGCAGTACCCAAAAGAAGGAATAGCAAGAGAATATACGATGTAAAGAGAGTTGATTGGTGAACGATTGGAGTATAATGACCAGCAGGCATCAAACGAATGACAACAGCACAAAGCAGAACGAGTGATTACTTCGGCCTCAACTGCGGCACCTACAGAGACAGGGGGATAGGAGGAAAGAGGGAGGAGGAGGAAGAGAGAAGACTAAGTTCAAGTGCAAAGACAGCGGTTGAACAGCATATATTGCATCTTCGCGCCAACAAAGACCATGAGCAGTTTACGCCCACATACCACTTCTCCCGAACCTTTGACGAGGGCCTCGTTCGCAAACCCCGTCCAAATCGCCCCTGCCAAAAGGGCTGTGCTATTGGCAGAATACGAACATCTTGCCAGATCGAGTGGTCCTGGCCGATTTAGGTGAGCTCACGCTGTCCCTTTTGAATCAGATCCCGACCGGCGTCCCCATCTGTAGATCCACTACCGTCCCTACCCATGCGGTGGATGGGGGTCTAGAGTCCTAGACGTAGCATCCATCGACTGTTCGGATACTGCGAAACGCATCTTTAGTGGGAAGAAGGATTTAAGCGAGGCAAAAAGTCAGAAATACGAGAGAAGGGGGGCAACAAGGAGGATATCTGAGTCCCAAGAGGAAAGCGGTGGTGAAGAGAGAGGCTCCTTCTTGCGCATCCTGAACAGGGTGTTTTGGGCGCTAACACAATCTACATTAGACAGTCAACCCCGGCTCCCGTCCGAATCGGCTCGAAAACGGCAAAGCTCCAAGTCGGATAGTTTCCGGCGACCGGGGCTCTTCTCCACCGTAATCCCGACCGGTCAATATTCCACTCTCCTATAGAGTGCTTTTCTGATTAATCGCGTTGGCTCTTCCGGCGTGAATGAGCGAATGGATTCCCGGCTTTTCCTAATCGGTGAGCTTGCGTTTGGGAGAGAGTAGAAGTTACCCCTTCTGCAGCTCTGCAGTGCTGGAGCTATTGTTCCTGATCCCATCTAGGTTTAGTCCATCGGTGTGAGCGTGTTTGTCACTTGTGATCTTCCCACGTTCCGACGCAGGAGGTTGGATAACTTGGGCCTTCCGTGAGGCTGTGAGCTTGAGCTCGAGCTCGAATCAGACTCTGGACAAAAAGGAACCAACCGGTGGACTGAATCTTTGAAGTGCGGATAACTCCTGAGGTGGGTAAGTGCTGAATTTGGTGAACAGGTGGGGCAGACTAGCGCGACCTCCGAAGGTGTTTGTTTCATAGCACCTTACCTTCTTCTTTGAGCGGACAATGGAGACATCAACGTCGAGCCAACGTAGTATCCCGATGTTGTAGAGACGTAACTTAACTACAGATACAGATTTGTTAATCAACCTCATGCTGTCGAAGCAGTCTAAAGGTGAGAACTCTTTGAACGAAGAAAAACCCCTTTCACGAATCAGCTCATTCTCATCCATTTGCTCACGTGGGCTGTTTTCAATTCCTCTTAGTAACGGACTGCTGATCGTCTTCGTATTGCAACGACATACTTTTCCATTCAATGTAATTGACTTTTCGTTGATTTGAGTTGGTCGACTGAGCTGTATCGCTGTCAATCTCGGACAATTGGCGAATTTTGAAAATGGAAGAAAGATTTTGCGGAAAACTTGGGTCAAAGCTGAATTGTGGCAGCGGCACATGCGTTCGCAGATGCAATCGACTTCTCCCGGTGCTAACTGGTCCAAGAAAAGTCTTGGGACTCTCTATCCTCGTAAGATGCGGCCTTCAAGTCAAGGTAGGCACAGTCATCGTCTTTTCGGCTATTGAAGCAGCAGACAGATGGATCAGTGCTCGCTGCCCAGCATGCTCGGTGCCAACGACCCGCCTCTTTGCCCAGATAACCGAAGAAAGGCCAGGTCCTCAAGATTTGTGCACCTAGATAGGTAAACGTTCTGGGAAGGAAGACACAGATGACGACAGAAAGTGATGAGATGTCCCATGAGGCACCTACAGAAATACACAATAAGCAGGTGAGCACGGGGTGGAGAACCCACTGCAGATGCAACCTCTTTAGGCGGCCCTTGTGGTATGACGTAAGTTTGCGAGACGGCACATGGCTTCCAGCAGACAGAACGACGCGATGTGCTTGTGTCCGCATAGCAATCGCCACATGATACAGGGTAATTTTGCACTGTTTTCTTTCCATTCGTGCTGTGCTTGTCATGCAAAGTATAGAGTACGCGCATTGATTTTCAGATGGACCCGACGGCGGACGTTGGGAAACCGGCGCCGTTGAAGTTTGAACGGGTCCCGTCAACCTTTTTTAATGGGCACTGCGACATGTCTAGTCTCAACCTTAAAAAGCGTACCTACCTTACTAAGGCAAGCACGCGAGCTCCTTCCACGTGAGAAACGAATTCGACTACATGTCTTCATAACATCGATGGGAAGACAAAGGTTCGCACCACGGAGATACTCCGGATACAAAAGAAGCCGCCGAAGCGATAAAAAGCTGACATCTCACTCGCGGATGCATCGCACAAGATGTGGTGAGACCCGAGGAATGATGTCAATAGGACCATCGACGGCCAAGAAATGCGGCACAAATCCAGCAGTGGCAGGATCGCTTAGCGCTTTCTGGGCACAGCACTTGGTCCCAGGCACTGAATCTTGACTTTACTGGGCGATGTCCCGACTGCTTGGCGGTCAGGGAAAGAGCAGAATAGTACCTCAGGCACGTGATGCCAACATTCGAGATCCAATCAAGGCAGGCGCAAGCTCCGAGTTCACCTCACCTACATCTCACATCACATCACAGGCAGGGACACCCAGGCGTTCTTTCCGCACTGGTTTACTTGACAGGGGCACACTTTCCCTCCTTTCTACCTAGCAAACTACGGCGGATCCATTTTACTTCTGCGGATTCAACGTCATCCCAAGCACCTTCTCTCATTCTTCTCACCACAAACTTCGCGCGGAAGCAGACCAACTTGCCGGCGGTTTCCGACACAACCTGTCATCTTCGACCGATCTGAAGTCGATCCCACCCTCATCACATTCAAGCAACCCATCCAGTAATAATTTACAACCGAGGGAACGCGTGCTAACTAGTCTCTCCACACCCAGGTTTCGAATCCTTCCTATCTGACAAGACCTGGCCACCACTCGAAATCAAACAAAAGATCTACATTCAACAGTTTCTCTCTCCACACCCTACCTTACAAGCACCGGCCTCCTTTCGCTCCCTCAGCCAACACAACCCCTTCTCCGAATATGAAGCTATCCACCCCGTCACACCGTCTGCAAGCGCAGACGTGGGAAGCGTCATGACGTCGTTCAAGATCCTCCAACACCTGCCGGTAAGTGCAAACGAACTTGTCGACCAGCGGCTCCAGTTCCATTTCCTATCATCCTAGCCTTTTACCAACTCATGAGGGTTTCTCTCCCGCACTCAACCCCACCCCCGCTCTCCATTCAATCCACAGATGCGACCGCCCTAGCTTTCCACCTTCGCGGTGTCATTAGAGGTGAAGCTCGACGGAGAAGTCTCCGATTACGTCGTTGTACATAGCTATCTTCAATTTCTCATTTCTTGGCGAGTGTCTGGATACATAAGGAGCCAAGCTGTCCCAAGCCGGGAGGCTACCTTGGCTGTCTTGGGAATCAAATCCATCCACCTATTTCTCCTACAGTTTCTAATTCGCACCCCTTTGCCAGGACGTTTCTCCCTCGTGACAGTGTCCCGACTTCCCTTGGCTTCATCCCCCAAACGTACCGGCATACGACTATCTTCTCTGCCAGGCTGAGGCTCAATTGTCGTCGCCATCAAAATGGCTTCGGATCCGAAGCGAGAAAGAATTGGCGACCAGTCATCGTCAGACCATGCCGAGACCGATTATGCTCACATGGACCACCCGGGACGGCAGTCCGAGGCCACAGCGGTGGACGAGGAAGAGAGAAAGCGCCTAGAGGCTTCCCGCAAGCTGGAGAACCCTCTTGCTGGCTTCACACCCGAACAGTTGAGTCAAAAAGGCGAGGACTACTGTCGAGAACATGGTATCATCTCAGAAGAAGACATTCGAGCTTTCCGCCTTGGCGCCATGATCTCCGGCAATATGAACAAGTACGACAGCATGACCGAGATCACTGCGGATGAACGCGCAGTGCTTGACGGCGAGGCTACTCACAAGTGGCGGAACCCGAAGATGCTTTATGGTGTTGTTGCCGGTCGGTCTTCCAGTCTCTCTACTCTTCCTAAGTTCACCTTTTCCCTGTCTTTTCTTCTCCATACCCCTCCAGCCTTCTGTGTACGATTTCCTCTTCACGTGCAGAGACTGACCCTCCCCAAGTTTGTTCATTCTGCGCTGTCGTCCAGGGTATGGACGAGACCGTTGTCAATGGCGCCCAGTCCTTCTACAAGAAGCAGTTTGGCATTGGAGGAGAGACTGAGCGAGACACCTGGCTCCTTGGTCTGACAAATTCTGCTCCCTATCTCTGCTGTGCCATCATCGGTTGCTGGCTTACAGAGCCTATGAACAAACGGTTCGGTCGCCGTGGCACCGTCTTCATTTCTTGTCTCATCTCTGCTCTAGCCTGTTTCTGGCAGGCTTTTACCAACACTTGGTGGCACATGTTCATCGCCCGTTTCTTCCTTGGCTTTGGCATCGGCCCCAAGTCTGCCACCACCCCCATCTTCGCCGCCGAATGTGCGCCCCCTCGCCTTCGTGGCGCCCTAGTCATGCAGTGGCAACTCTGGACGGCCTTTGGCATCATGATGGGCTACGTTGCCGACTTGGCTTTCTACTACGTGCCTGACAAGGGTGGTATTGTCGGCCTCAACTGGAGGCTGATGATGGGTAGTGCCATGCTGCCTGCTGTCTCTGTATGCGCATGCTGCTACATGTGCCCCGAGTCTCCTCGATGGTACTTGACCAAGAACCGCCACTCCGACGCCTACAAGTCCATGTGCCAGCTACGCTTCAAGAAGGTACAGGCTGCTCGCGACCTCTTCTATGCCAACGCCCTCCTACAGGCGGAGAAGGAGACACAAGGCATCGGTAAACAGAACCGTTTGCTAGAGTTTATTACGGTGCGCCGTAATAGAAACGGTATGATTGCGTCGCAAATTGTTATGTTTATGCAACAATTTTGCGGCGTGAATGTCATCGGTAGGTGCATATTTAGTACTATAACGATGTTTTTGCTAGGGTTAAACGCATAACGGTATAGTTTAAATGCCTAGAGACCGTTTCAAACGGCCGTATGCTCTTCAAGTGTTGGGGGGGGGGGGGGACTTAGACCTGAAGATTCTCCCGGTCTACCTATATTATCTCAAACACATGCTAACTATGAGCAGCTTATTACAGCTCCGAGATTTTCCTGGCGGCGGAGTTTAGCGAAGTGAGCGCCTTGGCGGCGTCCCTTGGCTTTGGCATCATCAACTTCGCTCTCCCGGCTTTCTATACGATCGATACTTTCGGACGGCGCAACTTACTCCTGACAACCTTCCCGTTGATGGCCATCTGTCTCTTTTTTACTGGCTTCTCGTTCTACATACCTACAAACCCCGCCAAGATCGCTTGCATCGCCCTTGGCATCTATCTCTTTGGCATGGTCTACTCTCCCGGCGAGGGACCAGTACCTTTCACCTACTCAGCCGAGGCTTATCCGCTGTACATTCGCCCCATTGGCATGTCTCTGGCGACGGCTACGACGTGGTTCTTTAACTTCATCCTTGCCGTCACCTGGCCCTCTCTCCAGAAAGCCTTTACACCGACGGGCGCCTTTGGATGGTATGGCGCCTGGAACATTGTCGGCTTCTTCCTGGTGTTGTTTTTTCTCCCGGAGACTAAGGAGAAGACACTGGAGGAGCTGGACGCCGTTTTCAGCGTTCCTTTGCGAACATTTGCACGGTACGGGCTCGCGCAGTTCTTCTACTTTTGGAGGAGATACATCTTCAGGCAGGATATCAGCCCGCCTGCTGTGCCGCATGCTGGAGGAGTTGATTATCATCGGGATTCATTTAAGCAGGAGAAGCAGCATAACCCGACTGCCCGTGTTTAAAGAGTTTTGTTAGAAGTGTATTTGATCATCGGAGACCAGCCTTGCCGCTGTTTAGCCAAAGCAGGGGGCAATTGTTCAAAAGCCCCACAAAGGGATAGCAGCTGTATAGTAGTGGGTGATGATACCGCCATCTACCTATTGTTTAAGTATATTTGAAATATAAACGCAGATTGGGGCAAGAAATACTTATATGAGTAACACGCGTTCATAAAAGACCAATTAATCTGAAAATACCTTCCGGGCGGCACCACACCCGCCTGTCTGTTGCGACTAGTGTATTCTATTCCTTGCAATCTGCGATGTAAACTTTGGTCACTATCATACCACATTCAAGCAAGCGGACAGACTCTTAATATTCTGTCTGACAACCTCTCGCTGCATGGATATACACCGCCACGACCCCAAAATTCGAGTCTGTCAAGGGCTCGACGGGGCGGTGTAAGTTGAGGCCATCAAGTAAGGAGAACTGCCATCTGATTAAGTGTCAGATGTGGTCTCTAGTCGATGTGCAAGTTGCACAATGCTATCTCTAGTAGAGGTTTTGTGGTCTAAAATCTTGGTAATCACATATAATCATGTCTTGGGGGACGGCACTGCGATTCAAAAAAACGTGGGTATTTTGCGCTCCGTTTCTATTGGCACGAGCGATTGCTATATCTCGAATTTCTATTTTCATCTCTTCTCAACCTCCCACGCCGACTAGGTGCCGTTTTGGTCACCAAGGGGGCAGCCGAATCTTCTCGTTGGTGCCGGCCCAGCTGCCCACGCTGTCGCCCAGTCGGATTCCGAACCGTCGGAAGGCTCTGCGCCAGCCCTTAGGCGTACCCTTGTTGGCCACGATCGCCCGCGTTGAGCTGGCTGAAGAAGGCGCCCAGCCTGAGAGGGGCAGACTTGTCGATTGGTATTGCTGGGTAAGAGAGTCTCAGCCCGCTGAGTGCCGACTGTGTGTTGCTTGCAGACTGGTGGATGTTGTGGTGTTTGTTTGGTGGTTTTGTTTGTAAGTGGTGTAGTGTGATGGAGCTTATCTTTTCAATTTTTTGGTCTTTTTTCTCTTTTATTAGTGGGTGATGCGGGGTGTGATGAGGATGGATATCATCTTCGTCAGCTCTGATGAGCAGTACGATACGTGCCGTTTAGTCGTTTTCGAAGGTTTGCAGTGTTGAAGCATTGTGGTCTTGGCGCTGGTAGAAGCCCCCCTTCAACTTCTGCCTGCAATTCGATCTCACACTCCTCACACTCCACCAAGGTCTCCTGAATAGCCTTGCTGACTTTGTTCAAATAGTATGTCTCGTGATCGTCGACAAAGTATTGGGAGTGGTAGCCTCGGCCGACGTGTGGTTATGTTGTTCGGAAGCTATCGTGGTGTTGTCGGGACTCATTCCTTAGGGCATTGAAATCTTGGATCGCCAACCTCTGTCCCTGAGTCGACTCTTTGGGTAATAGTGCCAGCACTACTTACACTTTGTCGGGTATGTTCCCGGGAGGGTTGGATCTTCCTCTTCACGAAGTGCCTGCATAATCTCCAGCTCGTGACTGCTGTGCTATGCAAGGCCTGTGGTGTAGGCGGGAGGACTGGAGCTCCATCTAAGTCTGTACAATCTCCTGCTTGCCACAGGCTGTCTTATACGAGGTTTAAGAAGGAGGGCTAGATCCTTTGCTGGGCCTGCGTAGTCTCCTGCTTGTTGCGGGCTGTCTTACGGGAGGCCTGTGTTGGGTGCATTTGGGACTGTCGCAGCCCCTTCCCTTTAGCTCAAGGTTGCCGAGAGATGTGCCACCTCGAATATCGTGGTGGATTTGTTGGAGACATCCTCGGTCGGTGGGGAGATAGTCCTAGTGATCCTTAGGTCGTCGGTTCTTGGGTCGTAGGAGGAGAGCTAGGCGCGACAGTGGTGGTGGTGGGTACATAAGAGGGTGCCATTTGTGCTATCTGACACGCCCTAGTCTTACGTGGGCATAAGGTATGTGTGTAACCGTGCAGATATGATATCAGTGGCCCGTTGAGGGCTTGGTATGCTGCGTTGTCGAAGTGCTTCATACTGAACCGGTGTACATTTCTGCCCACCTAGATATTTCTATCGAGACAGACAGAAATGGTGATGGTGGTGATGGAGGTGAGATGAGACTATGTCTGAGGAGAAGAGAGATGGGCTTAGAGGGGAAAATAGGAGCGTCTTATAGGAAAATGGGAAACATCAAGGTGCCTGGAAGGCCATGACCCAGGGAATCTCCGCTTGCTACAAGGTCAAGAGTCTCCTCGAATTATGGCCATTGAGTTTCGTTTAATGAAGGTCGACGACCTTGAGGGTGAAGTTACAGGAAAAAGCTAAACGTCGAGAACTGCCGCATGAACCTCTCGAACTGCTGGATCGCGACCTTGCAGGAAGGCTTATGGGGAGATGGTATAGAAAGTCCCTACCTCGAGGACTGACTCTGTATGGAAGTTTCACACCTGACAGAACCGTCTCTGATTTGGTTGTACTTCGACCTTTGAAGATGGCAAATAAAACTCTCACGAGTCTGGAGAAGTAGGTAAGAAGAACCGGAGGTCGCGCTGTTGGTTCTCAGACTTAGGCACGCGAAGAGTTGCAGGGAGAAAGCAGGTATGGTGTTTTCATTTTTGTGTGTAATGTCACGAATAGATCAACGAGACGCAACTCAGTTTCCACGTAAGAAGGACCCTGATGATTATGGCGTTCTCAGGTTTTTTGGAGATACGCCATTGTCTCCTCTGGTTGCGCAATGTGACATATCGCTCTATCGGAGATTGAATGACTGAAGAAACATCTTACCGCAAGGGAGAGACAGTGGACGTGGTTATGCGTCGCAACAGGAATAAAAGGATGTAGTGCCCATCCTTAGAAGAGCGTTTGAGCAACACTGTAGTCTTAGAACCCTAGTGAAGTAGGTACAGATACCCCTTTCTGCAACAAACCCACTGAAAAGGCGACGTGACTGGAACTATCGTCCACATCTTGGGACGGAAATAGAGTTGATAGCGGGCCAACAGGGGCGGGTCTAGGCGGTGGTTATCGGACGTCAAGTGCCAGGGTGGGTGATGGAAGGTAGGAGCTCCGGAGCTCCAGCTTGCCAGCTTCCAGAAAGAGGGCCGAAAAACCGTGCATTAGCGCAACTGCAAGCGTCCGGGAGGGAGGCTTGGGAGGGGCGGCCGCACGGGAAGGACGCTGGAGACGTTGCAGGGCGCCGTAGTAGCTGCCAATCAGACCGGCCAGAGCGGTGATCCTCCCCCAGGCGGTTGTCTATCGATAAGATCGGTTCGTACCTCGGAAGCAGCGTCTGTGACCCTGCGGTGCGCCAGTGATGCGGTGGTGCATCACTGGGTGCGACCTGACAGCTGACGTCAGGGGTCTGAGATGGACGCGGCTTCCCGCGCGACTACAAACAGAGCTCACCTCCCCGGTTTCCCTCACACGATGCTGCTGTTGCTTATGTTTGCTTCACCTATTTACTGTTTTTTCTTGCCCTCTCTTCGTCCCGTTGTGTGTATGTGTGTCTAATAAGGTAGACACAAGGTACAGGCAGACAGACATACCTTACAGACAGGCTGACCGACTTGTTCACCGTCCACATCATTTGCTTGGTGTCTAAGCATAGCCCGTGGTTTCTTTGTAGCCCTTCGCCGTGTACTCACCGTGCCCCTTTCCCGCCTTCGCCTAATTCCAGGGTGGCAGTTGGTACCTCGAAATATTGCCCAGTATGGAAACCGCGCCTGGCTCTTCGCCCTCCGCGGCAGCACCTGCCGAGGGGCAGGATGCGGTTGTGCAGGAGGCAGTGACGGGCGTACCACCTCACAATCACCCAAGGAGTACAAACACAGAAACCCCTCCTGCCAACTCTCACACTGCGGCCGCAACTGATTCGACTCTTGATCCTGATCTGAACATCAACACCTTACGCTCGGAAAACGACGAGGACCAGTACAACTACGCCTATTCTGACGAGGAGAATTTGGACGCATCTTCTATTTGCTCCTTTGAAGAAGAAGAAGACGGCAATTGGGAACGAGACCCAGACGACCCCGATACCATGGCCGGCTCGAGACGCCCTCACGGCCAGCGCCGTCGTACCCAGACCGATCTCACCGGCGTCCTCACCCTCGAGGAGAAGAACGAGCTCATCAACCTGGTCAGCAACATCTTGGACAGCATGCAGGACCAGATCAGCAACATCTTTCACTCCCCTCCCATCACTCCCGCTACCACCGAAGACCCACAGCACTCGTGGCTTTCCCTCTCGCTGTTGAAGAAGGGGAACAGCAAGCCTGCCGTTCCTCAAACCCAACCCAGCGCCAACAAGGAAAATGCTGGCTCTGCTTCGACTTCGAACCAGCAAAAGGGTGGATTGACGTACAACAAGGCCCATGAGATTGTCGAGAAGGAAGAGAAAGAGGCCATGACACCTCAGCTTCAGGAGCTCAAGAAGGAGTGTCTTGTCGTTTTCAGGAAGTGGCAGGGCAATGTCCTGACGCGTGCCAAGGACATTTCGGTCAAGGATCCCGAGGCTTCAGCCGCCTCAGCCGGCCGTGGAGGAGGTCGTGGTGCTGTTCGTGGAACCCGCGGCGGTCGCGGTGATCGTGGTGCACCTCAGGGAGGTCGAGGCACCACCCCGCGTGACCGTGGTGGCAGAAGCGGCACCCTCAGCGTCAAAACAGGAGGTACGTCGAAAGCTGTTAACCTCACAATCCCTAGCTTTCATCCATCGTTCCATGCTGACTTGCAAAGGCCCACCGGCTACCCGTCAACCCGAGACCGACCTCTGGCTGATTCGACGATTCCCTCCGAGTGCCACACCGCTGACTGCTCTGCCCATTGAGCGCCGAAAATTGTTGCTGCACACAATTCTCCTGCTTCTCTTGTCGTTGGAACAGTACACGGCCTTCTCTCGCGTCTTCATGCTTAAGTTGGCGTCATCGCTTCACTTGACTCTCCGCTTCTTTCAAGAGGACGAGGTTCGGGTTGCCCGAGGTCTCGGCAAGACTGTGCAGGAGGTTAACGCCGATGAGGTAGTCGAGGACAAGTCTGCAGAGAACAAGTCGACCAGACGCTGGAAGGTTGGCCTTGCTGGCGCTGCCGGTGCTGCCATCATTGGTGTCACTGGAGGTCTTGCCGCTCCCCTGGTCGCTGCTGGCATTGGCACCGTTATGGGCGGTGTTGGACTTGGTTCCACGGCGGCAGCCGGATTGCTCGGTACTCTAGCCCAGAGTGGCGTTGTGGTTGGCAGCTTGTTCGGCATTTACGGTGCTCGCCAGACATCCAAGATGATGGACCAGTACGCCAGAGATGTCGCCGATTTTGCGTTTCTACCTCTGCATGGCGAGATGCGAGACGAGTATCGTGACGCCAAAGAGATCCCGTCCAAAGACCGACGCCTTCGAGTTGTCCTCGCCCTCAGCGGTTGGCTTACTCAGAAGGAAGATGTGGTCAACCCTTGGCGTTGCATCGGCCACCAAGGTGAGGTGTACGCTGTACGTTGGGAAGTTGCCAACCTGATGAATATGGGTAACTCGCTCGAGACTGTCATCAAGAGTACCGCCTGGAGTGTTGCCAAGAAGGAAATCATCACGCGGACCAGTAAGTTTCTCGCCACGTAACGCGAGACCCCCGTGCTAATCAATGATCAGTCTTTGCCAGCCTCATGTCGGCCATGTGGCCCATCGGCCTTCTCAAGGTCAGCAAGGTCATCGACAATCCCTGGAGTGTCGGCATGGTTCGAGCCGAGAAGGTCGGCATGATCCTAGCGGAGGCCATCAGTCGCAAAGTGCAGGGCGATCGACCTGTCAGCTTGATTGGCTACAGCTTGGCTGCCCGAGCCATCTACACCTGCTTGATGGTTCTTGCCGAACGCCGCCAATTCGGTCTCATTGAGTCCGTGGTCATGATTGGCACTCCGGCGCCATCCGAAAGCCGAGTTTGGCTTGCTTTGAAGAGCGTCGTTGCGGGCAGACTTGTCAACGTCTACTCGGAGAACGATTATATCCTTGGCTTCCTGTACCGTACGTCCAACCTTCAGTTCGGTGTTGCAGGCTTGCAGCCAATCCAGGGCGCCGAAGGCGTGGAGAACTACGACGTGAGCAGCATGGTTAGCGGCCACCTGAGATACCAATACATGATTGGTACCATCCTCAAGAACATCGGCTGGGAGGATCTCGACTACGCGCAGGTCGAAAAGGACGAGCAAGTCCTCAGCCTCATGGATGAGAAGTACGGCCGTGACAAGAGCCAGAAGCCCACCTACGTCGACATGGACAAGGAAGCTGAGCACATCCAGGAGGAGGTCAAGCACAAGAACGACGCCAAGCTCGATTCGAAAATGAGCAAGATGAAGATCCAGGATTAGGCTACGGAGAGCATCTTAGCTGCGGTGATCGGCAGAGATATGGTTAGACATGAGCCATTGTTATTGGACGCGATAAACGGCGTGGATTATGGATGGATGGACTATTGGGCCATTATTAGCTATTACACCGGGAAAACGGGTACACACACTTGTAAAATGACGGGATACAATCAATGGGAAAACGAATATGTCTATCAATGGGATGTCTCACCGGGTATCCTAATTTATGGGTATCATGCCTCCTCTTTCTTGCTGCTCTGGACGACAAAGTGTTTTCCAGCCGTCCTCGACGCGGTCTCTAGAGGATTCCAGTCCTCAATTCCCTTGGTATCAAACTTCTCCCCACGCAATCTCTTTGGTCGTTTCTTGTGACCGAAACGGATTTCCTTGCCCAACGCATTCTGTAGCTCTTGCAAGCCAATTGTTGCTTCTACTACGCCTTCTGTTGTCTCGTCGCGTATTGAACGAAGCGGTTCAACGCCAGTGGTATCTACGCTCTGAACATCGCGCACAAAGTGTAGTTGCGAGTGTAGTGTGCGCAGCATTGCGGTCTCTTCCGCCTCGGATTCGGGGAGCGGGAGGGCGGACAGGCGAAGGAGGTGATGGAGCTTTGCGCGAGAGATTGGCTCCCTTGCTGACTCCTCTGCGGCGGCGCCTTTTGAGTAGGGCGGGAGGAGAGAGGCGACGGACCACGTGGGCTTCGAGAGGACTGATGATGCTACTTTCGGGGTTGAGAGGCGGACGCAGGAGGATGTGAATGTGCGAGTCTGGGGGAGGAGCGCGGTGCAGCGGCTGCAGAATGGAAGCATCGTGGCCATGCCCGTTTTTGTGTGGTCTAGGATTATAATTTTGGCTTGTCTAGAGCGCTTGGAGTCGCGATCGTTGGTTTGGTGTTGTTGACCCAGGAATCAACCTATTTCGGAACCTAGAGCTTGAACCCTGGTGTTTCTTCCGGAGCAGCCAAGGGACCAGGAAAAAGGTACCCTCAAACTCTTGACGAATCAGCGGGTTTAACCACGACTCCAACAGAACCCCACCACAGGAACCTGCAACAACTGACACGGGGATTCGCAAGCAAACGTAAGCCACCCTCACCTTGGCTTCCGCTAAGCCACAGCGACTCACCCCGCGCGTCATAGCTGGGCTGCTGGCTAACACTGGTGCCACCGACACCCCCCGAAGAAGCCCGCCCAAAACGCAGGGCCAGCCGAAGTGGGCGGGTTGGGGGTCGCGCTGCTACAGTTTCGAAGCACTGATACCAGCCAGCAACCACCACCACTACCACCTCTCACATCCTGAACAACGACCAAAGCGACGCACACCCTTCCTTTCTCTTCCTACAACCCGCGACCTTCCCTCTCGATACACCCAGTATAAAGAGAGGTTTGTGATAACCTACCCGACGAACGCACGTATACGACGGCACTGCAAGCCATCGAGGCCCCGATATCTATCAATCGAGAGACGCATATACAACCCACCATATAATCGTAGCCTAGTGCTTGCTTAATTCCGAAACCATGGCTCAGGATCCTCGCGCTCTGCTGCAAAAGGTGCGTTGATATTGGACTTTTCTTTCAACCGCGGGGCTACACTGTTCACGGTGCAGACGGCGGGGAGAGAGACACCGCTCAAGTGACCCCGCGATGCATATCTATGCTAGTTGTTATCGATAGGGCGGCACACGATCGCTGACGTTTCGTGATCGCGCAGGCAGACAAGACGCTCTCGAGCGCCGGTGGCGGCTTCAGCATCTTCGGCGGCCGGGAGGAGAAGTACCAGAATGCCGCGGACCTGTATATGCAGGCAGCCAACGCCTTTAAGATGCAGAAGCTTAGTCAGTCAACCCCCCATCCCCTCCTACGAACATCTTCCTCGCAGCTCTCGTGAAACAAAGCAAGGACTAACAAGTGGCAATGCCGTCCATTCTCTACAGACCGCGAAGCAGGCCAGGCTTTCGAAAAAGCGGCCCAAGTACAGACCTCCAACCTCAAGGAGCCTGACGACGCCGCGAACACCCTCGTCGACGCCTTCAAGGCCTACCGCAAGGAGGACCCCGAGGCCGCCGTCCGCTGCCTCGAGGTCGCCGTTACGCAGTACTGCTCCAAGGGCAACTTCCGCCGCGCGGCGGGCCACAAGGAGGCGCTCGGCGAGCTGTTTCAGACGGAGCTTAGCGACTCGAAGCGCGCACTCGAGAGCTACGAGGCTGCGGCGGGGTGGTACGAGGGCGACAACGCTGCTGCGTAGGTGACCCCCTTGGCTTTAAACACCCGGCGGTGCATGGCAAAGATATGAACTAGCAGCTAACATCACTTGGAAACAGCCTTGCCAACAAGCTCTGGCTCAAGGTAGCAGACGTGGCCTCGGAGGACGGCGACTACTACAAGGCCATTGAAAACTACGAAAAGGTGGCCTCCGTCTCCATCAACAACAACCTGATGAAGTACAGCGTCAAGGACTACTTCCTCAAGGCCGGCATCTGCCACCTCGCGACGGGCGACATGGTGGCCGCCCGCCGCGCCATCGAAAAGTACGCCGACATGGACCCCGGCTTCGCCAACCAGCGCGAGGCCATGCTGCTCAACGACCTGCTCGCCGCCGTCGAGGGTGGCAACCAGGAGGAGTTTACGGATAAGCTGTTCCAGTATGACCAGGTTAGCAAGCTCGACAAGTGGAAGACGACGATGCTTGTGCGGGTGAAGAATGCGATTGAGGAGCCCGAGGATGAGTTTGCCTAAGTTATTGGTGGAGGTTAGGTCAGAGGAACGGAGTTGTCCAGCATCGTTGGTGTTGAGCACGATGAACGGCCGGATGTGCCAAGTGAGAGGATGAGATTTTCTCTGGGAAGGAAAGTTGCCGAAACATGGTATGCTTACACGGATGCGTTAGGGATAGGGGGCGGAAAGGAAGAGAGTTTGCAACAGAGAGGACTCACTACACCAGAAGAATCGGCATGGTCTGCTTTTCCCGTTTGAATAGAAATCCATATCCACCACATTTAGTGAACCATGGCGTCAAGAGACATGTGATAACATATTCCATGATATGATAATCACTTGGTCGCACCCCATATAAATGCCCGGCATCCACTTCGGGTCAGAGTCACGGTGGTAAGAGTCACGATACAGATAACGTTGAAGAATCATCAAGACCTTGGGGCCTATTTTATTCGTCGTTTCCTCCTTGACTTCTTAATCTAGTATTTGCGCAAAAAACCGACCAAAGAGGGGAAAGGTTGTGTCGCGGCTGCGAACAACGAACCCCGTGCCACCCGCCGATGCTCTCTCTCTCTACCTGCTTCTTTTTGCTTGCTAGTTTGCACTTCCTGCTCGACAGCAATGCAGTTATCCGAAAATGGATGGCTAAAGGATCCAAGCTCTGGCTCGCAGCTGGAAATTGAAAGACTCGCAAAACATGAACAACGACTTCCTAATGAGGAACCCCATAGCCCTCTTTTAACCCCAGACTCCCCCCTTATGCCCGAAATGATTTTGTACAATTCTGCCCCCTGCCGTTTATTAAACATACAGTCTCCCTATCGTACAGTGCAGAGAGGCAGAAGTCGGATTGGTCGTCGAATCATGACCGGTAAATCGCCGGCAAACGTCATCGTCGACATTCATTCAGTTTGGTGGACTGCCAACCATGCTGGGTACTTGCTTTCTCATGAAACCGCGCGTCCGTTGCTCGGCGCGAGGAACGCCCTGGATCGCTCGAGGCTCTCTCATCAGACTGGGATCCAGCTTTGTAGGAATCCGAGTGACGACGGTTCGGTACTCGCCCGGGAACTTGGCACTGGGAGCAGGCACCGAAGCCGTCCGCCACATGTGGTCCGAAGTATCGCCCAGATACGTCGGAATCTTGAGCTTGGATGGCGCAGAAAACCCTGAAGCGTTGCTTGATGCGCCGTGCGACATACGAATGGTCGACAGACGAGAGAATCCCGTCGAGAGTCCCGGCCGTCCGCGAGCCTTCTTGGCCATGATAATCTCGTCAAAGAGACGGATCGACTCGTGCGTTGCCGAGTGTGTCTCTCGCTCGTGAATGAACTCGTTGAAAGCTGATGATATGTTAGCATTGCCAAGGCATGTGACCTTAAGGGGCACACTTCTTACCCTGAGTTTCTCTCAACATTGTGGCATACTCTTGTTGATCGTATGGAAGACTCTTAATGAAGCTGTTCATGTCGAAATTGTAGAGCTGACCGTTGTTCTTTTGCTCACGAGTAGGACGGCCCAGATGCTTTCTGTACGTGTACAAAAGACTAGCAAGGCATCGGACGAAAGCAGCTCGAACTCGATCAGGGTGGAATGCTTCGCTGCATACCACAGAGACCTGTCCCAGGCAGCGGTTGTGGGAGCGAGCGTTGCAGTGAGAACACTCGTAGATGCCGTCTCCTTCTGACTTGTCGTCGCAAACGGAACATGTCGAGGACAAGTCATGGGCCATCCAGTTGAAGCAATGACCCTCGACCCACACCATCGTGTCGGTATTCCGTACGGGCTGAATCAGCATGTTGGGCATAATGGTTGATGCCGCCAGGGTAGACTGAGCATACGTGGAAGGAGCATATCCGGGCGTGTACCCATTGTACGAAGACTGCGAATCGACCGAGATGGCGGATACCGACATGCTGGGATTGTGACCGCTGAGGAAGGGCAAGCTTGGTCGATGAAGAGGCGGGTGCTTGTCCATACCAAAAGACGAGCTGCGCCGAGACTTCTCATCAAAGTGGCCCGACTTCTTTTCTCGCAGAGTCTGTGCGAAACCGGAGTCGCTGCGTGACACAGGTGTAGTCGGCATGGGTGGGAAGTTCATTGAAACTGGTGAGATGGAAGACTGCGGGCTGGTTTTACCGGACTTGCTGGTGTTTGGCCGGTCCTTGTGATCGCCAGCCTTGGAATGCAAGAAAGCATTAAAGATTGGTGGTCGCACCGAGTTCGGAGGTGCCGGCTCTCCGAAAGACGAAGAGTTTTGTGTAACCCACTTGCCCAAGGAGCTCGAGGCGACACTGGCATTGTACAGCGTATCGTTCTCGACTGAAAAGGCGTCATACGGGTACGACTCCATTGCATATGGAGGGGGACCAGTAGTCACTCCGTACCGAATGTGGTGCGGCGCGGCCACATGAAGTAAGGAAATGAGCTTACGACGATGCTGCCGCGGAAGGCGAACGGGCTGGTTGGTGGCGTCGATCGTATCAAGGTCCAAATCAACCAGGACGTAGTCATCCTCAGGAAGCTCAATTTTCTCATATCGCCGCTCGATGCCGACGATATAAGGGCAAGGCGCCTCAAGTGCCGAAATCAGACGCGCAGGGAGCACCGGAATAAAGATGCTCGCCCATTTAAGGGGATACAACAGATTGACCAGTGCGTGGCATGCTAGGTGAAGCATGCCAGTGTGGGAGGAGAGGAAGATGATGCGAGACTCCGACATTGCATACTCGAACAAAGCAACAATGTTCTCCATTGATAAACACCTGAAGAGAGCGTAAATGTCAATAGTCCGGGCCCCTGGGATCTCGTTGATGGCCTCTTTTCGACAATATAGTCGCAGCTCTCGCACGCCCAGCTCGACCTGCGTCTTGGATGCCAGCGGACTGAAAGCCTCGGTGCAAAGATTGACGATATAACGCTCAAGAGGCTGCCAACGACCAACCTTGGGGGAGCTGGGTGGCACTCGGAGGACTGCGCTGTCGGTCATGGGCACTACAATGGCTCGCAGCCATTCCTTCCAGAACGACATTCTCGTGGCGTCTCTTCCCAAGATGCCGTAGGCTCTTGGGGCCCAAAGTCCACTCTCGCCAGCCGTCAAGCCGTCGATCTTGGATGCAGCACCGTGCCGAAGTGGTCTCAGCATTTCTGTCATGAGACTAATCTTCTCCTCAACAGCGCTGATCTGGTCATCCAGAGAGTCACGGGCGGAAGACCCTGAGGGAATCGTAGGTAGCTTTGCAAGCAGCTGGGAGAGGTGCGCACGCTCAGCCGCGAGTCGCACTCCCAGGCTGGCTGCCAACTCGCGCTCCTCGTTGGACATGTGGCTCTGCCGCCACTGCTCACATTTCTTCTCCACCTCGTCTGCAACCTCGGCCGTCAGGGCAAGCCAGATGATGATGGTAATACCATATATCTTGGAGTTATCGTCCGAAGTCATTGTGAAACCATGCCAGGTGGAACGTGGTCTGTCATCGGAAGACACGATCTGAATATCGTTCGGGAAAGCAAACATGGGTACGTAGTCTGGGAACCTCCCACGACGGGCGATCTCGTCTGTCGCATCTTTGGCTGGATACCTGTCCAGCAAGACAGGCTCGAATCGTCTCTTGAGGGGATGCATGTCTGGATCCGTGTTCAGGGGTTCCGGGGGAGGAATGACCGAGTTATAGTTGCTGAGTCGCTTGGCAGTCCTAATTGAAGCTGGAGCTAGCGTGTTAGTTGACCGGAAAGGACTTGAGGATTGCGCTACAGAGGAGGGTGGACCTTGTCGGGGGATTGTACCGGCTCCTGGCGTGCTTGCTCTAGGAGTGGTAGGTTGCTTGCGCATGCTGTTCATGTCCCTGAAACTCATCTTGCGGCGGATGCTGCCCTTGATGCTCCGCTCGATGCTGCGTAGAGGACTCCTCCGGCCGCTCGCGTCGGCCTCATCGGCCTTGATGCGCTCAGCTCTGGGGTTGACCATGGGAGCACGGGCTTGTGTTTTGGCACCGGCACTGAAGGATAAGTCTTCCAAGAAGTTCTCTCGTTCTGAAGCGAACTTGAGCAAAGCCTTGTCAAAGTCGAATCCTTCGATGAAAGGGCCTTCGCCATTGAGGCCTGGGGGAAGGCCATTGAAGACATTGAGGCCGGCGCCGGTGCCGGTGCCATTGATCTGGTTCGCCTGGGAAGGTCGAATGGTAGCACTGCTCCGGTTGCTTCGCGTGTTGCCATCTACCTCTTCGACGGTCTGGATGGAAAAGCGACCATTGGCCGCGCGGCCACCTCCACCTGAATTCTGCCTGGAATGGCGACCGACGCTGGAATGTCGAGCCACGCGCTTGCTCGGGGTGGCGTTGAACTCGTTATCGCTCTCCTCATACTCGCTGTCCTCGGCGATGGTAGACTCGACGTTGTTGGAGGGGGGCTGCGGGGTAGAGTCCTGATAGGAGACGGACTCTACGCCGGCGATCCAAAAGTAGTCGGCGAGCGGCGTCGAGGAGCTGTCCATGACATGTCACTTGCTGGTGACCAGCCGGATTGGCGATTTGGCGATATGTCTAGCCGGCGAGGATATTTTTTCCCAGCGTCTCGTTGCTCTCGCACGGGGGGCTGGCCCGGGCTTTTTAATCGCGAGAGGGTCTCGGGGTCCTTTGGGTCGTTGGGTGGTCGGTCAGGACTGGGGGGGTACTTTGTGGTACAAGTTGAACTCGGTGCGGTGCGGTGGGTGGACAGGGCAGGGGTGCCAGGGTCCGGGAGGTTCTGATGGAAAAGTCTCAGGCGACGACCTGTAGGGAATCGGGCTCGTTTAGCTATGGGATCCTGTCGAGGTCTCCATTCAGGACTGGAGAAGAGGAGGGGGAACAGAAGGCGGTGAACGCACGAACCAGGGAAAAATGCGACTGCTTCTCGACCAGCGACAGCTAAAGCGCCCAAGCAGCGGAGCAAAAGGGGCAGGTCAGGCAGGGAAGCCGGAGGTAAAGGATCGAACCCGGATCGGAGAGGGTGAAAGCGTCGCGTAGCGCGAGGCCAAGGTAAGGTCGATGGCGGTAGGTAGGTGTGGTTGTGATGTATGTTGCAAAACGGGAGCCGTGAGGTAAGGTAGGGTAGACGGACGGACCAACAGTCGAAGGGTGAATCAACAACAAAAAGAGGAAGCCGCCAAAGGAGTGAATTTTGGGAGGATTGGCTTTGGGTGTGTCGAGAGGTGGAAGTGAAAGTTGACGAGTGAGGAGAGGCGTCACAGGTCGGAATTGGTGCCAGAACCAGGCTCGGATCAGATGTCGCCCAGGTTTAGGTAGGTAGGTAGGTTGGTCGTGTCGGGCAAAGATAACAACAACCAAGGAGAGAGGGCGATGGTGTAGTTTTTTTTTGTTCTCCTCTTCTCTGCTCGGCATAAACCTTTCCCCCTCTTCGTTTTTTCGGTGGTGACAGAAGAACAGACGCAGAGCCTCCAAGAAAAAGAAAGGAAAAGGAAAACAAAAAAGAGATTTTCCCGGCGACAGGCAACAAACGACCAAACAAGAGCCGAGTCGTTGGATGGAGAGAAGTAGGGGAATAAAGGCAAAGCAGAGAGAAACAAATAATCAGGTGCAGCAGGTCAAGTCAGGTCAGGTCAGGTACCAAGAAGCCACGCGCGGACGGGAATTCTATTCTTCTTCTGGCCGCGTTGTTCGGTTTCCCGTTTTTGCGGAGGTGTGTATTTTCTAAATGCAAAGATATGGAAGGTACTCTGCAAGTGTGAGGTACCTTAGGTAGTCCGCATATTTGTGTGTGAAGAGTGAAGAGTAAAAGGCCAGGCACAAGTCAAGTCAGCGCAACGGGACAACGAACAACAACAGCCATGGCACGGTTTGGGACAGAATGGGAAGCTAATATGGTGATCGGGCTCAAGTCGCTCGACGCGAGAGAGAAAGAGGGCAAGCACCAACCTGTTGGCGCCTTCATTCGCTGCTGCAGTGTGTTGGCGCTACCCGTTCAAGGAGGAAGGAGGTGGTGTGCGGTCACTGCCCGTACGGATAGCGTCAAGGTGTGTAGTTTGTTTCGGCGGGAAGGTATGGTGTGGTGAGGTGTGCAGGTGCCAGGTGAAGTGGTGTGGGAGAAAGAAAGAGTGGATACCGACACGGGGGGGCGGTAGACGGGCGGACAGTCAATTGGGAAGGAATACTCTGAGGCAAGGTAGGTACTCCATCCATACGCCAGTTGCGGGCGGGTGCAAGTGCACACGGGGGGGACAGCGGGCCCGGGGTGGCAGAAAAGGGCACCAAACCTGAGAAGGCCACGAAGGACAGGGGCACAGGGGCACAGGGGCAGGACAGAAGCCTTCTGCGGGATGGTCACTGGAGGAGGCTTGCAAGCCTGGGAGGGCCCCTGACAAGCCTGGGAGACTTGAAAGGTCGCAATGCAGCTGTTACAGGGAAGCGCAAGCCGCAAGACCACAACAAACACTGGGCCCAATGGGACGCTGTGCTCAATTTGCATCTAATTCGGTCGGGGTTGGGAGACGGGACGCCTGTTCTGCTGTGAACCGAAGCATGACGCTTTTAGAGCCCCAGTTGCGACTGTATCTTCCATACCACTACCTTACCTTAATATGTGATGGATATTGCCTTTGCCTTGAGAGCATATTACCATAGTACCGTGTCTCTGTCTACGTTACGTGGTTACCCAGCGTACGGTACCAAGTATCGCCGTAAGGCTGGTGTTTGAAATGGGGAATATACAATTTACACTGCCTGCCATCACCCGTCCAAGACCAGGCAAGGTACCTGAGGTGACCCAACAATTCTATCGAACTTATCTTTATACTAAGGTAAGGTACATTATGCCGCTGCTCCGCATGGAAACATACATCACAACGGCCTCGACTCACCTCACGTTGACATTGTCTCTGGCCAACCTCAAAGAAGCGAAGCTGGCAAAACCGGTGTATCCGTCCCCCTCCATTCCTCAGAAGCTGTTGAACCGGGCTGACGGATAATTGACGTGTTTCATACCGACTTTTTGTCTCGCTTTCTTTTTCCTAGAACCGAGATCTCAGAGGGCGGGAAGAAGCAATGACATATGCACTAAGACCCTCACAACCCCATCGAGTAATGTCTCTCGATTGCCGCTGCCGTGTCTCGCGCGCGCTGTGAGCCTGTATCCTTTCAGACTTTCAGCTGCTCGTGTGAGTATGGCAAAAAAGAGAGTACCTACCTACCTACCTACCTACCTACCTACCTACCTCAAGGTAAGGTAGGTATCGAGTCTTATCCCCCGTTGTTGTTCAACTCTGACTTCCACGGTCTAGACTCTGTGACAGAACCATCTAGCGGCGTCGTCTTTGGCCTTGGCCTCCAATGCGACATTCTTGGCCCCCATCCTCTCCTTCAACCGTCTTTCTTCTCATTTTCGGTCTAATGAGGCCAAGGTTTAAGCTCTTGAAGAATATGACCTCGTGTTTGCCCCTTGCATAGTCGGCAGTATACTCTACACCATCACATAGTATACTCTCAACGGTGGCTACAGAAGCCAGACTTGCGAGATAAGGTAGACCAGAGATGGTGAAGCGTAGAAAGAGTGTCCAAAGCCACCCTTGTGGTCCCTGAACTAGCGTTCCAGGCATGAGCCTAGCAACGTAGACACCCACCTGTTCACTACCTACCCACGCTACCTAACATCTAGGTAGGCAAGGAACGGTACCTAAGCATGTACACGCTACCTACCCTCGGAACGGGCAATGACAGTCAGGGCCCTGGGCTCCTTACCCCTGGATCACCAATACCGTCGGGGGCAACCGCTTGTCGATCAACTGTTCTTACCAGTGACCATCAGGTAGGTAGGTCGAGGAAGGTACCCGTACGTACAACAATATCCGTAACCGGGAGGTTACCATCGACGCAAGCGCTAGGGAGACGAGGGAGACGACTTCCTTTTTGCGAACTGTGGATGAAGTCCCATAATCCATTGCCAGAGCCCACATTCACCCACTATCGTCCACAGCTGCTGCCACTCTGATTCTGCCCATCAGACCCTTTTTTGACCCTTTTTCATGCCCTCCCATGGACTTCCTTGGACTTCCATTCCTTTTCGTGAATTCGCTCCACCATCATGACCATCCGCAACCCACCTGCAATACATACGCAGTATCCGTACTCCATATCCGTAGTGTACCTACGAATACTCCTTGCTGAAGCAGCACCACAGGCTCCGCAGCGTGCTCCTCCTCCGCCCAGCATCCACTTTCAACTCCTCTTTGCTCGGCGATCTCCTCTTCAGCTCCAATGCCATCACGGAATATCCCAAGGTAAATCGCTCTTCCCCTCACTTGCTTTTTCGCTGCTGCCGCCAGAAGCCTAACATCGTGTACCTTTGAGTAAGTACCTCTTACACACTCATGGTGCCTTACCTCTCAACCTTGGAAGTGAGCAGTATCTTTCTCAGCTCTGCCTTCTCAGCTCGCCCTCAGCTCTGTCCCTCCCTCCCGCATCCTCTCTTCTCTCCTTCAGGACACCATGTTATTGAATGATAGGCTGCGGCCACTCAGCAACCCGAGAGCCCCCCATGATTTCCATTGTCTCCAGAAAGTCTTGGGACCTGCTCCAATGAGGGGGGAAATCTGAATTGTGAGCGGCCCAGCGCTAGCTCACCACGCTTTCCAGGATGAAGGTCCTGTTCAATGCACCCAGCACCTGCAAAGCAACCTCGGGGCTGCCCAACTGGAAAGCGCCCGTCTTGCAGAGTGCAGATACACCGGTTTCCACGCCTGTTTTCTTCCAGACGCACGTGTAAGAAGCATCTCACCCACGAGGACCAGCCCACCCCGGCCTGCGCCTTTCGCTGAATGCGTCCACCACTGCTTACTTACCTTGCGCCATCAGCCATGCGCAGGCGGGCAGTAGAGCGACGAACTCCTTTTTTCACTCTATCAGGACACAGGACACACTGCGAGTGCCCTGTACACGCACCCAATAAGCACACAATATCGAGAACAAGACGAAATAGGTTCTTCACCCGCAAATCTGCAATTCCCAGCTCAGGACAACCAACAAGCCTCTTCTCCATCGATTCAATGGAGATGACATCCAGCCATTCGTTGGCTCACGGTCAAATCCCCAAACTCCTGTCCCGAGATGCCGCGAACCGGCGCTTGGCTCATGTCCAACCCCGTCCGCATCTCCATTCACGTATCGCCCGACATGAAAGAATCTACCGGATCCAGATTTCTCTCGGAACAAAACCACCATTAGGATAATCCTTGGCTAATTCTCTCTCTTGTGGGCCCTCTCCACCAACCCATCGTATCCCATTCTCATGGATGTTGACAGTATCGATACCCTCGTCAATGTCTTTTCTTGGCCGCCTGCCTAACACTGGACTCTGGTCCTCGTCTACGGAGTACCTTCCCTGTCATTGAGGCCTGTCGTCTGCCCTACCTTATCACGATTCAACTCATACCTACTTCGCACAAGTCTCTTTACCATGGCGGTCAAACGAATCCAACCACTTAAAGACTTGAAAATGACCTGTTCATCCGGCATCACGGCGAAGGCGAGCACAAAGCCTTTGCCAACCTGGTAAACTCAACTCCAGGTCAACCAGCCAACCATGCACGCCGCCCAGTACGGGCCAGGGGTTATCAGGCTCCTGCATCACACCCTCTTGGGTTATGGGTGACCTCCAATTGCCCTCTTACGCAAGACAACCCATGGAGCTTCTGCAGACTGCAGCATAGAAGCGCATTTCCGCACGTCTGGCGTTCTGACGAATACGAATGGCTCAGCGAGGACAGTACAGGGCAAGCAAGCAAAGAAGCAGCAACTTGCAAGCACCCAAGGCGGTCTGCAATCTGCATTCCAATGCTCGCTACAGACTCCGGAGTATTCCTCGCCCGCCTCATGCACTTTGCCTCGAGTCGGCATCCATCAAATGCCATCTTGATGGTGTACTCCGTACCTGCTTATCGACAGGCTTGTCGAATTGTCTTGCATGTTGTAATGGGGCGTCTACCTTGGTGTACAATCGCACGTTTCAAAAGCCTGTACAGCAATCCGCTCGAGGCTTGTCACCCTCATAATGGGTCTCCTTCCGCTTCTCCGCGACGCCCATCGCGCACCAAGCAGCTTCGATGGGCGTTCCTCGCAATCTCTGGTTACACATGTAAACCCCTACGAAGTACCTGTCTCTTGGGAAGAGTGCCGGATTAGAACACGGCTCAGAAGTTCTCCTCAGACAGTGTATTCTGACGCGCACAGAGCGAAAGATCATACCATTCCATATAGGCCTGATATCACGGCCCATGGCCCATCGTGGGCCCGAGATGTCGAACATGACGGACAAGGATCGGCGCACAGCTTCAAGTGTCTGTGGGTGGTTGTGCCGGTGCTCGGTGCTCAGTGGCCGTCATACCACCCCCCTTCCCGAGAGCTCTTTGCTGACCCCTTCTCATCGGCGCCAAAAGCAAATACCAGCGCCGGCAGATGCCCGCCATGGCACTCTACGGTGTACTACGTACTTGTCATGTCCAGGAAACCCATGTCTTCTCTTGAGATATTCTCTCAGAGTGAGTCGATTGCGTCGCCATACGCCCAATCCTTGAACCTAGGTTACGCCGCGAATTGTTGCTTCCCAGGGACCCGCCCGCATCGTGACATTTTCGGAGACTGTTTGGTTGGTCTGGTATGGACACATCAGCGGTCTACTACCGGTACTAGCATTGCAGACGGCTCGACGAGAAGGACAGCCACCGCAGACTCCTGCCTGTTTCTGCAGCCAGCCAAAGAACTAAAGAAATCTTTGTTTCAGATTTCGCCTGCATACCGACTCAACCCATGCGCTAAGCACTTTACGGTGTACAAAAATCTATTAGCTGGAATCTGTCGGTCTTGTCTGCCTTCCCTGCCCCCTGGCCCGCGATAGCGCCTCATCATCTCGCCGGATTTGGATCGTCCAGAATTTTTTTTTTTTCGAATGTACGAGAAGCTGGTTGTATCCAGCATTCAACTTGCCAAGTTCAACGACTCACAAGTCATGACTCTTCCAGCTGACGTACGAAATAGAGTCATTTTGCTTTCCGTGCCAGTCAACGGATGGCGGGCGCGTCTATTCTGGTTGTCTTCATCTACCCACCCATGCCGCCCAGAAATATCCTTCAATCTGCGTCGTGCAGTTGCAGTCTAATCCACACCAGAGAGGCTGATAATAATGAGATTTAACACAGTTGCAACACGAGAATCAAATTACGTCCTCGAAGCCGCCGCTTATTACTTGACGAAGCATTCCTTGCATAAATCCCCGTGTTGGGTTGGACTCTGAAAGAAGCTGAAAGCCCAACGTGTCTACCTTAATTCGCTTTTTTGCTGCAAGTTACCCAAACGAGATGGCCGTCTCATTCCGGCAAATACCAACCGTAATCAATCCTCAACAGCGGCCGAGCCGTGGCAAGGGGAACCACTCAAATGTGGTGAAGCCACTTGTCGATCCCATGCAATGCGACTGTAGGAGTGCAGAACTACAGAACCAGGTTCCTGTTTCGGACGGGAGACACGACAGAAGATACGCAGAGCAACCAAAGCCGCATGGCACTTCACTGCTACTCCTGCTCCTACTATTCGTTTTCTCATGCAGCCCTTGGCTATTAGCTATGTCACTCGGAGTACCACAACAGTAGGTATGTAATAACAAAAGAGAGAGAGAGAGGCTCTCGTAACTCGTAATGAAAACGAGCAGGAAGGAATGGGCGCTGTGACCACGGTTTGCCTCTGTGACCCCTTTTATTTAGCCATATCCAGCCCTTTTGTGACAAAAGGACCGAAGTGTGCTAAAGTACGCAAACGAATCTTGAGAGGGAGGGACGCTAAGAGCCGTTCGTGCAATAGTCTCAGGACGTTCTTTAGAGTTTTGAGATCTAAGATTCGAGCCCGCTGAGATCTGAAGGTGTCAAAGGTCAGCCACTTGGTGGAGAAAGGGGACAAGACTGCCTGTTTAAGGCGGAATCGTAAGAATAACACATTCTTTAAGATGATATGACATATTGGTGCGGGTTTAGTGGCGCATCCGAGCGTCGTGAGGCAAGGTAGACTAGACTCCTACGCCACGGCTTATGGGATCTCACTCTAAGGTATCTTGAACAAGACTCATCTCAGCTGCTGGCATGCCAAGATGCCTCCTCCTGAGCACCGACACGCTCTTTTCCCCTTCCTTCAACACAAGAGAGGCGTGCGAGGTCCAATAACATCCCCGCGCACATCCAGGAAACGAAGGATGCTCCCCCTCTTCCTCCTCCTCATCGTGATGCCGCGTTTGCCCCGGAAATACGGCTCAACGCCCCGACCGTGCAGACGATCCTAGCCGTGCCAGCTTTCCGTAATTGGTTCCCTTGGGATTTGATGGGATCTCCAGCATCAGCATGGCTCCTCCCAGGGCGTAGTGTGTATACGGATAGTCGGATCCTCGGACGGGGAAAAGCTGTGTTGGTCTGACATTGGGCCTTAATCCGGGGGAGCGCCTTGAGCGCTCTGCGTCGCGTCCTCAGCTGTCACCGTCGCCGGGGCTTCATCTCACCAGCTTCTCACCAGTGCTTCCCCCCCCATCTTCAACAAAACGCCTCAACTGGCTTTTAGGTCTCGACTCTTCTTTCGCGAGTAAGGAACCTCTCGCGCTCACGCCACGTGTCGCGTGCCCAGCTTCCCCGTGGAAAGAAACCCCCTATTCCCCATCTCGCCCCTCCACCCGATCCCGAGAACCCCAAACATGATCCTGCCGTCCTCGCCCGGCTGCGCCCTCGTCCCCTCGGCCTCCTCCACCACGAAGCACACCTGCTCGACCTCGCCCGGGTGCAGCACCGGCCGCGCGCCGCCGCCCGTCTCCCAGTTGCAGTCCGTGTAGTCCAGCCCCTCGGCGAGGTCCAGCACCACCTTTTCGAGCTGGATCACGTCCTCGGAGCAGTTTTCCAGCTGAGCCTCCATGACCCACCGCCGACCGCCGCCGCCGTTCTTTGCATTGGCCGCAGCGAGCGGGCCGATTTTCGTGCGGACGATGAGGGAGGATTTGCAGATGAACTGGTACAGCTTCCGAAAGGTGCGCGTCTTGCCCGAGGTCTCGGTGGCTTCGTAGTAGCTCACCGTCACGGCGAGGACATGGTTGCCTTCCTCTTTGAGATCAAAGTTTACGATGCGCTGAAGGGTGTCGCCAGCTTCCAGGTCCTTTCCCTTCATGTCGTCGCCGTCGTTGTTGTCCGCGGCGGAGGAGTCTAGTGGGGTGAGGTCGAGCTTCTGGATCGAGTTTGCGCCGGGGGTTTTCATTTCGGCTTCGATGCGGACGTCGCGGATGCTCTTGCGCTTCGTCGGCGCCGCGGGTGCTGCTGCTGCTGATGGTGGTGGTGCACCGGTGGCGCCGAGGGGTCCTCCGCCCCCGGGGACTGTCGGTACGGGCTCGGGAACATCGTGGTTTGCGCAGAGGGTGCAGCTGAAGACTTCACCTACGTAGGCGGAGCCGAAGCTCAGCGGGAGGTTGAGGATCGGGGAGAGGAGGAAGGGGGAGGGGTTCGTTGACGCGGTTGTGTCGTAGGCGAGGGAGCCTGGGGTCGGGTCCGCGGGGAGGTTTGAGGGCGTCAGCGGGGGCCGGATCGGGTGTTGAATTACGAGGGAGGGGCGAGATAGTCTGTTGATGGATGACTTTCGTGTTAGACAGGTGGATTGTTCCATTTAAAGTTCGTGAATAGGGAGGGGGTGCGAGTGCGCGAGGCACTCAGTCTCGTGTAAGTCGGGATCTATACCTGAGTACTTTTAAGGAGACGGAGTGAGGCTCCTTGAGGGGGTCGTGTGACGGGTATCTTTGATGGCTCATTATTGCCGTATCCGCGTCTCGCCGGCCGATAGGGAGATATTAAAAACTTAGAGGGGTTCGATGTGTCGTAGGGGTCGGGTAGCGGGGGATGCGCCGCGCGACTTGATGTGACAATTGGAGATATGGAGAGATGAGAGATACGGGAGAGATGGGCTGCTGGGACGAAATGACGACTGGGGGTCTTAGCTGTGGTGGGTCCCGAGATGTCTTTATCGATAAGTGAGAGAGAGAGTGGGTGTGTGGAATGAGCCGGGCCCGCGTGCGGAGCTCTCCCCCGCATGTGGTGGTCCCACTCGAGGTTCCGGGTTGGAGGTCCACGGGAGAACGGACGGACCCGCGCACTGTGGACGAGGTCGTCCAAAGTTTTGTTCCTAGCTGGGGATTTACAATTTTGTTGCGTAAATCAGATAGTTTCACGGGGCTTCCTCTGTCAGTCATGAAAAGATTTTGAAAACGACTTTCAACTCTCCATGTGAGATGGCAGATGACTGAATGTGCCGTGCTTCATCAACACAAGCACTTATCCGTCCTTATTTGGGGAATATCTACACATATACATCTGACAGTCCGAGAAGTATTATCGATATCTAGAATGAGATGGAACCCTGCAATTTTCACGAGACGTATGGTTTGCAATAGTGTTATAGAAGCGATTGTGGGGGGGGGGTTTGGCCAAGACCTACTATCCCACGGGTGCGAATCGGCATCAGGCAAGAAATTGGCCAAAGGTGATCAGCGTCTTGTGAATGACACGAAGAAATATTGGCATAAAATCGTTGATACTTTCTTGTTCTTTGCAAGTAAGGTCCATGAGAGACAGCCAAAAGCGATCAAGAGTAGGCCAAGAAGTGGAAGGAACAAGCATCTGCTTTCGGCATTCTGGAGAAGACCAGAGCCAGTGACATCCCCTTCACACCTCCGCCCCAATTCGCTAGTAAGTAGAGATTCAAGATTGAGTTGAGGGTTTGTCCGCCTCACGTCTGCAATGCTGGTGAGAGAACCTACCTCCAGATAGGATGCCATGCTTTTGTTCGGAAATAATCCTTGGAAGACCTCGACGGGTGCTCTGTTTAAGGTACAGTCGTTCCTTTATAAGGCCGTGTGGCCTGATACTAACAGGACTCGAGTAGCCACTTGGAGCATCGTGTCATTAACGAGACTAATCACCTCAAAAGTCTTGGACCCAAGCTCTGAGGAATACTTTCGCTATTCTTCGTCCACGCATTGGCTGATGGGACTACTCAATTGCTATGATTTGGGGTGTATACCTAGTATATTGAAGTTGATTTCCTGGTACAAGGGTAGTTATATCATTCCTCTCAAAAATGGCTTTGTAAGTCTTGACTGGTCGAATGCCAACTCGAAGAAAACCGCGAGTACGACGATATATAGCTATTCATTCTTACATTACAATAAAACCATCCTCCAAGTTTAGAGGGAGGTGGTCTGATGAAACCCAGAGTCAGGTATCAGAGGAACTTCAGCTGTCGGGGCCAAGTCTAGGATGCGACCCTTGAGATGTAAGGGGGAACCACTACACTCAACTCCAAAAAGAATATTGCGAACCACTCCAGAAAAGAAAGGAAGGTTAGGAGGGGAAACTTACGATAGAACTCACGCTCCTGCCCGGATTCGAACGGCGCGCCCCTCAGTCAACCCAGAATCTGACTTCATTGGAGCACTTGTTTATTCAACCACTCGACCACCTCGTACACAGCTTGACCTGACCCGCCGACCTAGTCGGAAGCTGCTATGCCGGTGACAGGAATGAGATTGAGGGGGGGTATATACCCTCGGGTGCCTAAGGTACCCAAGGTAGGGTAGGTAGGAAGGTCGAGGAAGGAGGGGAGAGGTTGGAAGGAGCAAGGCAGGCACACGCTACCTACAACCCATAGAAACTACAATAGGACCCGTATCACGAGGCCCTGACAGGATTGTGTGTACGTATAAGTCATGGGTGTTGTTTAGTGTTCGTATTACTATGTCTGTTGATTCATATACAACTTCATCTGTGTCTCCTTCACCGTCCAAGTGACCATCTGCGGCACAACACCGCTTAAACACGGCAGTAGTGAAATGCGCCTCTCATGTCTCTTCTCACTACTTAGTGGCTTTGCAATTTCAACTATGATTAGTAGACCCCGTTCTTCTTTTCTAAAGGCCGGGAGGAGGTGGTACCTGTTTTCTGTATTAGCAAAGTCGTCTCACTCAACGTCGGAGTGAAGGTACTTACAGCACCATAACCTCCTCCGGTGCCCGGAGGCGCGCCTGAGGGAGGGGGAGGGGGAGCAGAGCTCGGAGGAGGTGGGGGAGGAGCGGCCTCGCTGGGAGGCGGGGGCGGAGGGGATGCCGCTGCTCCAGGGGGTGCAGGCGAGCCTTGCTGCTGCGCTTGCGCGGCAGCATAGTACTGCTGGTACATTTGAACATAGGCCGCATAGCCACCATAGGCAGCGTAAGGATCCTGACCGCCATAGTACTGTGCGTACTGAGCGGCGTAGTCTGCTCCGGCGGCAGGGCTGTTAGAACCGCCGGGAGGAGCAGGGCTTGCCGATTGTCCAGAGTTGTGACCGCCATAGCCGCCACCGCCGCCGCCGCCGTGACCGCCATGACCGCCATGACCGCCGTGGCCTCCGTATCCGGAGTTATAGCCCCCGCGGTCACCACGATCACCGCCATGGCCGTGGCCTCCATATCCGCCGTGGCCGCCATCGTGGCCCCGCGAGCGGTCACCATAGCTACCGCGGTCACCGTAGCTACGAGGAGGTCTGCTCTTGAACTCTTCGTACTGCTCCTTGACATTTTCAATCAGATCTACGCAAAGCTCCTTGGCCTTCTCGACCATCTTAGGGTCAGGTCCACTACCCAGAGTCAGTACAAGGGCGTAACATCAGTAGGGTGACAAGGCACTTACGCGACGTGGAGGTACATATCCTCATCACTCTCGTGATTGGTGGCTGCCTCCAGGTATCCGGAACCACGTCCTTTGATCTGAACGCGGCACTGGGTCTCCTGCTGGATGTGCTTGACGTAGGCACCGCCATGACCAACAACTTGGGCGCGGAGATTGAATCCGGGGACCGACTCCAAACCAATGGGGATCTTCTCCTCGGGCCATTTGCGCTGTGATATGTTAGAAGCGGTTTACGACACAGGTTTCTATACGTACTCGGCCATATTCGTCTCTCTCAACCTGCTCCTGGTCGCGTCGACGGAAACGACGCTCATCAACCAGAGCGGGAAGTTCCTGTTTCATGAGTTCTTCAATCTTTGTCACGGCTTGCTCAAGGCCAGTCTTGGATGTACTGGTAACATGCAAGTACAAAGGCGGGTTCTAGGGAGAAGGTCAGTGTGCGTTACGATGCCATGGGTTTGATGAACATACCGCCGCAGTCGCCATGCTCTTGTCGGGGTAGTAGTTTCCTCGGGTAGTAACATCTTGCAAAGTCAACCTCTGTTCCTAATTAGACGTAAAAGTGGGAGGTGTTTCGTACCAGCACCAGTTTCTTCTTTGATCTAAATCAAGCAAAATGGAGTCAGCAGGTGCCAAAGAGGGGTGATCTGTGCGAGCTATCGTGCCAAGTAAGCAGGATGATCTCGACACAAATCTGTTTATATGTAGGAAAGCGGAATGCGCTCGAGATGAGGCCTGGGAAGGATGTATAATCAGTGTTTTTTGCACAGGAGTATTTACCATCTTCTGAGTCGACCCCTTGGTCAAGAGGTATCGGTTACGAAGGTCGTTGACTTCAATGTCTTTGATGAAGTCACCGTCGGCGATGTACATCTCTCCGTTGATCGTGTTGGCCGGATCGGGCGACTGGGCACCGCCTGCAGGAGGTTCGGCGGTCTTGATCGGGGGAACGTCGACATGCTGGATGCCCTTCTTTGCTTGGAGTTGCGCGTTGATTCGCGCGGCCGCAGCAGCTGCGAGTCTGTTAGCCATGTTTTCTATAGCAAAAGCAAGGCGCAACCCGTACCAGCCGCAGCAGCAGCATCTACAGGCGACTTCTTCGGCTCTGTCGCCTGGTCATTGGGCAGAGGGCTGCGCTCTCTTGCCGACTCTGAACGTCTTCCTGGCGGCGATCTGGAGCGGCGGTCGAATCTCGAAGCCTTGCGAGGCTCGGGTTCGGTTTGGTCGAATCGCGAGCGCTTGGCGGAGCGTCGCTCGGTATCGTCCATTGCGACGTCTGAAAGCAGTGGTGTTGAAGATACAGTCGCTCGTGTTCGGAAATCGTGTTCGGCGTGCGTCTGGGTAATGCGCAAGTGCCTGGCAATCGATATGTGGGAAGTACAAGATTGTGACAGTAAAATTTACGAGGTATGAAGCTCTCTGGAGGTGGAGCCTTGGAGTGACGGACGGGCCAAAATAAAGTGGCTTGGCCCGTGCGGCGAGACGACTTGTCGACTGTCGTTCCTATGCCATTTTCCCACGGCCTGGCTGTCACGGACTTAGCGCCTCAGGTGTCAGACGTAGCTGCTGTTTTTAGTCTACACCAGCCACATGGTTGCATCGGAGCGAATATCGGCAGGAAGAATGCGGCCGACGGGACCATCCTCACAATTGAGATTCTACCTATTCCTCTTCAAGCAACCATTCGCATCTTTTTTTTCTTTTTCTTTTTGCTAGTCTGAGTTCTGTGGTTAGTGGACCACAGCATGGCATTTCTGGAAGATAATTGCATCCTCGTATGGTCTCTTGAATGTTTGGGCGGGAGACTGTGATATTCTAAACTAAATGCCTTGAATCCGCAGTTCAAATCTTCTTTGTCAACAATAATCAACTCGAGAAAGAAACATAACAACGTCGCAAACGCTAGGTAGCTTGGGTGCCTTATCTCTACTCCGTACTGGCACTAGATAAAGTTGAGCTGTAGACTGAATTCCGTAACAAAGTCTCTCAAGTCCAAATTAGTTAGCAAGACTCAAGTCAAGTAAAAAGGTCTACTACGGAAGGTCGTGAGAATGAGTTAGCGTTAGAACTCAAATTGACTGCCAGCTGCGCTTTGAGTAGTTGCCCAGTAACAAATCGATTCATTTCTCAAAGCTCAGTCTTTTCTCAAGATGTCCATGAGCCTGAAATGTCCTCACTTGAGCCTGTGTTGGTTACCTGCATAAGATACTGCACAACAACCAATGGCTACCTTCTCCCATCCCAATCCTATCTTTCTACAAAACACACGATGATTACTTTGGAAATGCTGCTACAGGTCAGCAACTGACACAGTGCCGGATGTAACCCCGCACCCTCCAAGCCGACCCCGCGATGCAGTGTCAGTTGGGAGTCCACTCTCTCGGTGAAAAACCCTTGTCAGTAGCTGATCCGTGCCCCTTTACCCCTGCGAACGGCCAGCTCCCCTGCCTCCGCGCCTCCGACTTGCCTCCGAAGAAATCGTCCCCCAATCTCCTCAAATTTTCCCAGTGGGAACTGACACAGACGGTGAGTCAGGGTGCTTCCTCTTATCTCCCCTCAAGCCATTGAACCTCGGAAGCTCACACTACTTCAAAGGTTTCTTGAGATTTCCTCTTTCCTTTGGTCCAAAAAGAGAGCAATTGGCCTGTTCTCGCACTTTGAACCCGGAAAGATGGCGTCTCGCCGCCTCCTTTCGACCTCGCTCTGGCGGGCCGCCGCCGCCCCGGCTCAAGCGACATCGCTCTCCGCCGCCGCACGATGGAGCTCGACAACCAGCTCGACCTCTGCCATCGCCTACAAGGCACTTCGACGCCGCTCGGCGCCGCTGCCCGTCAGCGACAGCCCGCCCGCCTGGTCCGCCCAGGCCGCCGTCTCTAACATCCTCTACGACATGCCCTCCCCGTCGTCGCAACCCCCGAAGCGTCACATCCTCAACTGCCTGGTCCAGAACGAGCCCGGTGTCTTGTCCCGCGTCTCCGGCATTCTCGCGGCCCGCGGCTTCAACATCGACTCCCTCGTCGTGTGCAGCACCGAGGTCGATGACCTCTCGCGCATGACCATCGTCCTGACCGGACAGGATGGTGTTGTCGAGCAGGCCAGACGCCAGTTGGAGGATCTCGTCCCCGTCTGGGCCGTGTTGGACTACACCAACGCCGCCCTGGTTCAGCGCGAGCTTCTGCTGGCCAAGATCAACATTCTTGGACCCGAGTACTTTGAGGAGCTGCTCGCTCACCACCGTGAGATGACGGCCATCGACGTCGAGGAGCATGCGCTCGAGGGCGAGCAGCAGCAGACTCTGGAGGATGTCGCCAAGGACTTCCACCCCAGCAAGTTGGCTGTCAGTCAGGCATTGCGCCACAAGCACGAGCATCTCAAGTCCATCACCTACTTCGCCCACCAGTTCGGAGGAAAGGTCCTGGATATTAGCACCAACAGCTGCATTGTGGAAGTGTAAGTCTACTCTACTCCTCAGCCGACGGAAGCCGAAAAGAAAGTAATGTACTGACAATCGCGCAGCTCCGCCAAGCCGTCCAGAATCGATTCTTTCCTGAAGCTCATCGGACCCTTTGGTATTCTCGAGTCCGCCCGCACTGGTCTGATGGCCCTGCCCCGTTCGCCGTTGTATGGACCCAACGAGGAGACGATTATCAAGGAAGCGGATGAGGTTGTCGACGCTAGCCAGCTTCCTCCTGGTTAAGCTTTTTTGTATTAAAGAATATCCGGCGTTGGTAAAAAAGGGGTATTGCCATCTTTTTCAATGCTACCAAGTTGCTATACAATCTGTACCATTTGTTTGCCAAAGAAAGAAACGCCTCGCCTTTTGCTGTAGCTGTGAGCCTTTTTAAACGCCGACACATGTCCCCATTTAGATCTTGCCCTTGTTCACAACGAAGCCCTCGAGGGCAGCTGTTCAGTAATTAGCATCATGACGTATGCCGAGAGATATGGGAAGTAAACTTACAAACGGCAGCCCAGAGACGGTTCTCCGCCTCGGGGAAGACCAAGGAACGAGGGCTGTAAAAGACCTCATCGTGTACCTCCTCGGGGTGACGAGGCAGGCAGTGCATAAACTTCCAGCCCTCCTTAGCACCGCCTCGCTTGGCCAGGTCGTTGGTGATCTGGAAGCCAGCAAAGGCCTTGAGACGCTTCTGGGTCTCGGTCTCCTGGCCCATGGAGACCCAGGTATCGGTCACCAAGATATCGGCGTTCTTGCAGGCCTCCTCGGGGATGGTCGTCTCAATGAGCTTACCGGGAGAGGCAACGCCCTTGGCAGCAGATTTGATGACGGCCTTCATGGCTTCGGGAATGCTATATCCGGTGGGAGATGCCACGGAGATATCGACGCCCATCTTGACGCAGCCGATGGCCAGGTCAAAGAGGACATTGTTGGAGTCTCCGATCCAGGCGACCTTCATTCCTTTCAGACCAAGGTCAGCCTTGTCTGAGGTAGCAGAGGCCGGGAAGGCCTCGTGGATAGTCAGGAAGTCTGCAATAATCTGCAGAGGGTGGTAGTCGTCGGAGAGCGCGTTAATGACTGGGACGCTAGAGTCCTTGGCTAGCCCAGCAACATCAGAGTGAGGGCCGACGCGGGCAACCATGCAGGAGGTCATGGAAGAGATGACCTTGGACGTGTCATATAGAGACTCGTTGACCTAGACAGCTGTTAGTTCAGTGCACTCTTATCTCATTGAGCTTCAATTGAAGTACCCCAAGCTGAATGTCATCCTTGCCCAGGAACATGGGATGACCACCCATGAGAGCCACGGCAGCTTCCGTCGACACACGAGTACGAGTACTGCGCTTGCTGAACATCATGGCAACCGTCTTGCCGGTCAAGCTCGACGCAAGCGCCTGGGGAACATTGCCGGACTTGACTGCGGTCTTGTTTGACGCAGCATTGCGAACGAGAGTGGCAAATTCGGCAGGGCTCAGGTCCGCAATGGACATGAGATGGCGCGGGCCGGCCGACTGTGAGTATGCGCGGCTCTGGGCGCCATTGAGAGCTTGACGAGTGACTCGGAAAGCTGTTTGCTTCATGGCGGGCGTCTTGGTGAGTCGAAGTTTAAAAAAAAGTGTGGATTATGAGAAGCTGTAGACCGCTTGGTGCAGGTAGAGTCAAGTCAATTGAGGGTCAATGGATGAAGCTTAAACGCAAAGTTGTAAACAGCGAGAAAAGATGGCTACTGAGTCGAAGTGGTGGTCAATTGATGAGTATTAAGAGTCGATTGAGTCACGATTGGATCGGATGGATAGCTTCAGTGAGAGACCACAACGGCCGGGACCTCCACAAAGTCTCCTGCGGGCTGCAAACTCAACGAACTCCTCACCGCTTTACACCGAAAATTTCAGAGTCACCCTGCCTGTAAACACAGCGTGTTGCAAGGCGTATGCAAGGTCAGAAGGGATAGCACGATAAGGCAGAGACAGGCAAGACACTGACACTGTGTACCTCGATAAGGCACCTTAGCGTGCTTAGGTGCTGCATGAGCCCAGACTGGTCCGTTGAAACCGCCGGAACCGGAACATGCCAACAGCATAAGTTGGCCGCACTCCGGGCAGTGGTTGCCGCGAGTGTCACTGCCAACTGCAGCGGAGGGAGGTGCACATTGCACAGGTGCATGTGTGCCTGAGAAGGAAGGAATGGCCCGTGCCCACCGGGCCAGGCACTGAGGGCAATTGCGGCGTGGGAATGGAAGGTGGGAGGGAAGATCATCCCCAGCCATCCACATGGGCGCTGAGTGGAAAGTCGGCCCTGGTGACCAGATCTCGTCTCATTGGTTTCAGCTGACCTCCACCCCGGCCTCTTCAACTGCACTGCCCGTCCTGGGATGAACCAAGTTACTTGACATCATCACCATTACGAATCCCGACTATCTGGGTTGTCTGGGCAAGATCGGAACCCCGTACACTTCCTTTTTGCATGATTTCCTTTTGTACTACTTTTTCCTGGTTTCAGTACTGTTCGCCTTCTCGACCGGCGATGACGGACTTTCTCGTGCTCTGATCTGACAACGACACACCACACAACTGTGATCACGATAATACTCTACGCGCAATGGCCGAAGACGAAGAAAGATCGCCGCTGCTGGCGGGCAAGGGCAAAGGCAGGGCCGAAGATGATTCCTCGTTGTCCGAATCGGCGCCTCTGTTATCCAGCTCTTCTGCGACGCCCCGATATGACGGCGAGCAAGACGACCCTGAGAGGTCCCGCGCCGCCTCCCTTGCTTCGAACCCACCGAGCACGACCACTAAGAGTTCTATACGATGGGCATCCGTTATATCCATCATAATATTGATATTGTTGGTTTTCGGTATCATGGCCGGCTGCTTTTTCGTACCCTCGGCAGTTCAAGAGTATGCGAAGCAAGCTGCGGTCGTTGAGCCGACGAACCTAGCCCTTGAATCAATCACGACAGACGGTGTGCGGGCACGGGTTCAGGCGAACTTCAAGCTCGACGGCTCCAGAGTGC